GAGAATTTGAAGTTATGATTTAGGACTGTGCTCTACTTTTCACAAAAAGCCCAGTCCGTAGCTTTTAGAATCTGCACCACTACCATCCGCTCTCGAATTTTTCCTTTTAAATTTATCATATTTTGTGGTAGTTAATTGCACAATTGAGGTCTTGAGAATTTGAGTGGCGTGATTCAAATTTTCCTACCAGGATAGATCAATATGAGCGAAAGTAATTTTAATTTCTTCTCTCATTGTTTCTATCCCACCTGCTACAGAAAGATCCCCTGAAAATATACTCTTCAGTCTCCCTCTTGTGTTCAGCATCGCCCAAACCGTCATTAGTCTGATGCTAAAATGATGGAAACCAGAATATGGCGCCAGGAACTGGTCAAAGCAAATAGGGAGAACATTGACTTAACGGTTACATAACCACCCTTGTATACCTAAAATCAATCTGTGACAGCTCTGTAACCAACCTCTACTGCCTAGGGATTATGGGACACAACTACATAGCTGTGGATCCATCAGAGACCTTCTTGGAATATTATTCTGTATATGGGTTAAAATTATATATGGGAACCTAAATCCACAATACATGGGAATCAAAATCAAATAAACTAATTTGAGTTTGATTCCCAAGTTTTATGGGTTTAGATTATCTAGAATCAGTTTGAACTAATTTTGTTTTCTCGGAACTTGTCTCTTTCAATATGTTTTTTTGTACCGAAATTACTGTGAGATGCATTTATGGACAATGCTTATACCTGTAATGCGATAGGTAAAACAAATGGTAGTTGCCACTCTAGCAGAATCTGGTATGAATCTCTCGGATGACGTGATTGAAAGTATCATTGACAAGGTGCATTCTTTTACCTGATGGGCTCAATTTGCTTATCAAACATTGTCTTCATTTGTTATTTGTATATTCGGAAACTTTGAATGAGGCCTGTTCTTTCTTTATGTTGGGTTTCATATTATTTCCAGCTGAAAATTTTGATTTATTTTTAATGGAAGAAGAAATTATGTTAAGAGGAGAAGTAACAATTGTTGGGGGATGAGAAATCCTCAAACCAGAATAAAGTCATAAAAGGAAAGTAACGGTTGTAGAAAAGATGTTCATTAGTTATGTTTGCTAACTTAAGCTGAAAAAGGAAACTTTCTCCATGTGACTTTATCCTCATAATTTAACTGAGGTTTCTACTTTCTAATAAGAATTCTCTACTAAATAAAATGAACCTTGTTCAGCTTCCTTTTTTTTTTTTTTTCCTTTTTTGTTTTTGTGAATTTCATTAGTTATGTTTGTTAACTTAATGAGTTTTTTTAAGTGACCATGCTTTAGAAAATCATTCGAGTCATTGTAATATTTTCTTATCACTAACAGTTTATAAGCTATTTAGACATTTGAGGAAGCTGATACAAAACATGATGGGAAAATTGACAAGGAAGAATGGCGAAATCTTGTCTTGCGGCATCCATCCCTTTTAAAGAATATGACTCTTCAGTATCTCAAGTGAGTTTCTTTTCGTTACAGTAATTTGAATTTTGAAGTTCTTCCTCCAGTGGTGGAAATGTTGTGAAGTTGATTAGGATAATCTCATAAGGCATGATTGTAATGAGAGAATAGAGATAGAAACATAAGTTTTTCCCCTTATGGACACTCTTCACACAATCAACCAACGCCAAGAACAAAGATCGGATTGCCCCTCACTAAACTAAGCCCTCTGGTCACTAATCTGCATCACTCTTGTTAAATTTTTATTGGTTCTTTGCACATCCAGTTACTACATTATATATGCCTAAATTTGTATTTTGTCATCAAGTCCTACCTTCTAATGCATGACTTTTTTTTTCCCCTTAAAAAAAAAACTTGGCAGAGACATCACCACCACATTTCCCAGTTTTGTTTTCCACTCGCAGGTTGATGATACTTGAACGAAATAAGTACATCATCCTTGTAAGTTTCAGCAGCCTTAGCTGGGAATGATGTTTCACCAATGAAGGAACGAGGTTGTGAGGTACTGGGCGATACGGTGGATGGGATATGGCGTTTGTTTATATTTTCATTAAGTCGAACTTCATCTTCTCTTTTTGGATAGATGAGGTTTCTCCGTTGTACAAATGGGCTGGTTTATTTATTTATTTGCTTCATTGGAAATAAAAAAAGGGGAGCAACATAGGATATTCAGGTGTCTCACCATTACGCCGTTAGATTTGGGGGGATTTGGATATGCCCAGATCTGGAAATGGCTGCTACTGCAAATAAGGGAGAGAAAAAAAGAGGAAGATGAAGATGATGATAAAGACCGTCCTTATTTCCCCTGAAAATAACATGTCTGTCAATTTTTCCTTGTCTTTTAGATGTCGTTTTTTAAGTTTTTGGGTATGAAAATATCGTTTGTGTATGTTTTGTTGTAATTATATGTTGGAATTGTTGAACAGAGAAGGCTGAATTATTTTGTAATTAGCACCAACTTTTCTAGAGTTGTAAAAAGGTGTTCCTTGTTTGGGAAGCATGTTTTATAATTTTCTTTTTGCCAACATGCTGAACGTCAGTGCAATTGTTGAAATGCTGGAGATTCTTGTGATTAACATGAGAATATTCCTCATTAATCTCATCAAACTAATCAACCATGTCCTTCCTCCTCTATTGGTTTTTTTTTTAAGTCCAATTTTTTCCGTCCTTTTATTTCCCTGCAAACTTGAATCTTTTGCCTGTCTATTGGGATGTGTGTTTTGGGGATGATCTAAATTTAAATTTAAGTTTTGGCGAAAAAGACTAAAAAATTTTCTTAAGCTGAGGCCTTGAATATATCTGTTTTCATGGGTTCGGATTTAATGAAAGAGGCTAGTTTTTCATAACAAAATAAATCAAGACTTGAATTTTTAGAAAAAGAGGTGTGTACATTTAGTGCCCAACAGTACTTTAAACAAATTTCACAAAGAAGGTATTTTTTTCTTTTGATTATTTAATTTTATATAAAATGATTAATGTTTTGATATATTTTAAAATGCTTTAGTTTTGAACTTTTACAATTTTTGAAAGAATTTTTTTTTAAAAAAATGCAATTTTACTTTATTTTATTTTAATAAGTCAAAAGATTCAACATGTAGAATGCGAGTTTTTTTAACCGAGTTTTCTTTGAAATAAATTGATAATTAAAGGTTATTAAAATGATAGGTTTACTTATATTATGTTTAGTACGTTGGAATAAAGAATTAAAAAAATAGAAATAAAAATGTAAGCGGTATGATTAAGCCTTTGTTTGGCATGATCGAAATAAGATTGCATTACTATGTCTGAAAGAATAGAAATATGATAGGAATGAAAAATGACAATAACAATTTATTAAATTACCCTTAATATTAAAAAGTTATAAGAAAATAAAGGTAAATTAGTCTTTTTATTTGTTCTCTGGTGTTGAACAATACCATGCCATTAAAAAAAGATTGATGGAATCATTTTGAGTCAAATTTGATGGAAAAGGAATGGGAGAAACATTTCAATCCCTTCACACCAAACATCTCAACGCTCCATTTTATCACCTTTTCCCGTCCCATTCTTTTAATTCACTCATATCAAACACAACAAATGGTTCAAAAACTAAGTGTATTGTCCATATATTATTTTACATGATATTATATATATATATATATATATATATATATATAGTTGAGAGTCATTCATAGTTCAATTGCATATAACTTTTTAGGAACCAGGGAATCATGATTTAATACTCCCCTAACCATTTTGAAGAATTTTTATGGTAATTAATGTTGAAGCTAAGATCCCGTATCATAGCAGTTCAATGTTATAGAATCTTTTGAAAAATCAAGAAATTATATATTCCAAATACTTCTTGTTTTAAAGCATATATTATTACAGAAAATCAAGAAATCATGGGCTCAAGACTTTTTTTTGCCCAAGTTAAAGAATTTCTATGCCTTGGTGGGGGATGATTTCTTTTCTTTTTTTAAATGAATTTTTTGTTTGCTACTCATTCACTATTTCGCTTAATCCTTTCATTGTATTAGTACTTTAATGCCCCGTTTAGTATCATGGAAGAGTTTTAGATGGAAGTAGAAGTGAAATTAATTGGGGTATTATTATAATTTAATATTTGTATTTACAATGTGAAAAGACATTTGAGCAGTAAAAGTTGACTTGGAGAAGACCTATGATAGATTGGAATGGTCTTTCATAGATAATACCCTTTGAAATTTGATCATGATGTGTATCTCTAGTCCCTCCTTTCAAGTTCTTTGGAATGGGGAACCTTTAGAGCAATTTATACCTACCAGGAGTATTCGACAGGGGGATCCGATTTCCCCCCTGTGTTTACTTTATGCATGGAGAGACTCAACCATATTATTGAGGATGTAACTGATGAGGGGCTATGGGAACCAATTAGGCTTGGTCAACAAGGCCCTGATCTATCTCACTTATCTTTGCAGATGACCTAATCCTCTTTGGGGAAGCCTCGACTTGGCAAGTGGATGTGATGATGGACTGCACAAACAGATTCTATGAAGTCTTAGGTCAGAATGTGAATAGGGCAAAAACCAAGATCTACTTCTCAAATAATGTTCACTTCTCTAGGGCAGTAGAGATGAGCCAATGAATAGGAGTAGATTTGACAGGTGTTTTGGGTACATGTATGGGGGTGTCGTTGATATATAAAAGAGCATCTTATGTTATGTTTGCCCCCATTCTTGAAAAAACCAATAGGAAACTTACTAGTTGGAAACAAAATTGCCTAAGCATGGCTAGAAGAGCTACACTGATCAAGGCAGTACTATCTGCCCTACCCTCTTATCAGATGCAGACCTCACTGATCCCGAAGCGCCTCATTACTGAGTTAGAGAAGATTAGCAGAAGCTTTCTATGGGGTGAAAATGAAGGGTCTAAAAAACTTCATTTACTCTCCTAGCAGATGATTACAACTGATAAAATGCGGGGAGGCTTGGGTATCAAGAACTTGAGAAAACAGAATGAAGCCTTTATGGTGAAACTTTGTTGGAAATTGGTTTGTGACAAAGAAGCCTTGTGGGTCAAGGTAATTAAAGCAAAATATGATACAAGGGATGGCCAAAGATTGCATATTAGTAAAAAGTCAAATGAATACCTCACGTGGAAAGGTATTAGAGGGGTTTGGAAGAACTTCACAAAAGGGCTTGGGAGAAAGAATGGTAATGGTTTTTTTTTTTGATATATTGAGATTGGTAATGGTAAATCCACATATTTCTGGTTTGATATCTTATCAGATGTAAATTATCCCTTAATTGAGCTAATTTCGGAATTTGAACACTTGGTGAATCCTTCAGAAATGGTGGCTGATTATGTTGACGAATGGGGCTAATGGAGTGGGGGAGAGGAGTGGATTAATACTTTTGGAGACCGTCCATAGATGGTTGCTTTTCAGTTAATTCTGCTTATAAATTTGGAGATAGAAGGTACATAACAACAAGTTGACAGTATTTGGAGATGATTTGACATTTGCAAGTACCAAAAAGACTAAATCGTTCCTATGGATATTCGCACATGGCAGAGCTCACACAGCAAGCCTTCGACAACGAAGGGGGCTAGAGGTAACATCAAATGGCCCCTTTGACTGTGAGGAGATAGAGACTAATATGCACTTGATCCGTGACTATGCAAATGCTATTCAGTGCAAGCAATTAGTAGTAGATCCCACTCTTTGGTTTCAGTTTACTTCCCTCCAAGGAGTAGACTGGATCAAATGGAACCTTGGCAAAGAAGCAGGCAAAGACTTTACGAAGAATCTTAGCTGGCCGACCTTGTTCGAGTATATTTGCTGGGACACTTGGGTGGTAAGATGTAACCAACTGTTCAATCATAGTGTTACCACTAAGGAGACTAGTGCCCTACCAAGTTTCTTCAAAGCATACTGGGACCAAGACATGGTAACCAACTGTTCCTTCTACAACATAGAGAATAGGGCAAGACAGGTATACCAAAACTTACAAGGAGAGTATGCTATCTTGGAGGTAGACGGTTCAATTACACAGGAAGGACGCCGTGGCTGTGGAGGAGTTATACGGAGCAATAAAGGAGCTTGGATATTTGGCTTTAGCTGTAAAATCAATTCCACTCCCTGAACTATCACAGAAGTCTTAGCCATGTTTCAAGGCCTAAAGCTTTGTTGGTCAAGAGGATTTAGAAGTGTCATTCTCTACTCTGATTGTACTAAAGCTCTTAATCTCATTTTGAGAAGCTATTCTTAGGATAACCTCCTTATTCTTTCTTTTTAATTACAACTGGAGGGTCTTACCTATGTTTTCTCCTAAAGAAAGAAATTCCTTTAGCTGATCTTTTAGCTAAATTGTCTCATACTCTAAACAATCTTTTTTGTATTTTTTATCACCCTCCACCTTTTTGAAATAGGAGGAAGGGGTTGAGATACTTTGTTTCTGACTCCTTTTGTACTGTTTTTTAGTTTCAATTAAAAAAAAAACCCTAACCACCCAAAAGACCTCAACCCGCAGCCACCAACTGGCGACCATTGGAACACCGGCATAGGAGAGAAGGAAATAAACAAAAGCACGACGAGATCATCATTGGCAAAATATGAAATTGAAGAGTTTGGTGAACAAAAAGCAGAATCAGCAAAACAGGATAACCTCTCTTACCCACAATCATTATCACTTGCCATCTTCCCTTCCGTCACTAATCTAAAGAGGAAGAGGAAGAAGACACAAGATTCGTCATCCTCTATCACAAATAAAGTCAAAGTGTCACTCGCCGTCTACATTTACCATTACAGATCTGAAGAGAGAGAAAGAAAAGACAAAGAAGGTCTGATACCCTCCATTGCAAATCTAAAGTCAAAGCTCTGTCCTCCGTCCTCCGCCACCTTCATCGTCATCCTCTTTTATTGCACCACTGTCCTCCTTCTCTCGCTACCATCCTTGGTTTTATCAGAGGAAGGGTGATGGGTAAGTCTGAAGATGTGGCTCCATAGAACTGGAACTCGATTCCTTGAGGGGGCCTATGGAACCGAGTTCTATCATTTTTCATGGAACTAAGAGTTCCAGGAATTGTCTTCAAGCGCACCAAACACATATTTTGAGTTCTGTTTCCACTTCCACTTCCTTCCTACCCAATTCCATGCTACTAAACAGGGCATAATAGATGTTATTGGTGCTTACATCTAAATAATAAGGTGTGGCCAGGGTACTTAAGTAACATTCTCCCTTTTTATTATTTAATCATTTTTAATTGATTTTTTTTATATAAAAGTCGTCTTACTTGCAATTTCAATTCCATTTTCTTTTTCCTTAGAACTTCTGGCTCTGGGTGGGTCCCGTGTTCGGGGTTTAAAAGAAAGTGGCCGCTCCCCCGTCTTCGGTTTCCTCCTTCTCCGGCGACCATTCTCTCGGTAAGCTACTAAGCTTAGCTCTGATTCTTTTTCCTTTCAAAACCAATCGTTCTTTTTATGCTTGCTAAGGTGACGCATGTGAAAGAAGAGTTCTTTCTTTCTTTCCTTCGAAGTTGCAAATATGAAAATAATTTCACCACTTCGAAATAAAACCCTGTTAGTCGTTACGATCATTGGGTTGACTGTGTTACCTACATTACTCTTCTTATAATTTTTGTAGGTTAAATCAAGTTTTACTAGTGATGGAGAAAGGAGGAAAGGGGTATTCGCCGATGGACAAAGGAGGTCAGTTCATTTTTCCCGTATCGATGTTTTTTAAGGGTGATTTGGGTGAAAGTGTTGATTTTTGTTTACTCGTCACTTTTTGTTTTACGTATCCGATTGATCGTCTAAGAAAATTTTTATAATCTCAAATTAGTTTGTAAGCTTGTTTGTTTTCCTACATACATGGTGGAAACGGGCCTCTGTATCATTTTTTTTTTTAAATTTTTTGTATTCTAAATTGAATTTTGGCCTGATGTTGCGACGAAATGTGCTATTCTTTTTGGCTTCGCCTAAGGACAATCAGGAACCCATAGTGATCAATCTTCCTCTGCCGCTTATTTGGCGGACTATTTAATTCGAAGATTTTAAATCTATGACTAGGTTATTCTCCTGAGCCAACAGCTGCCCCGCGTCTCGAATGTATGTTGCACTTTTGTAATTCGCACCTGCTGTACGAAAAAACGACAGCATTTTAATATGTGAAGATGATCTCGGCTGTAAAATTTAACTCCACGAATGATGAGTAAGCAATTCCCAAATTTGGAAGGAACAAAAATTGACCTTCAAGAATGACCCTAATGGTCATCTTCACGACAGCTAAATACCAAAATTCGGCCTCCAAGAGTGATGAGTAAACTGAGGAGAAGTGAGCAGAATGGTACGTGTATCGTCTATGAGCTTCTTCCCTCCCTCCCAAATAGATGTTTTTTTGTCTCGAAGTGAAGTTCTGATTGAGGTTAAAAGGCAGAGAACGCTAGGATTGAATTTCATGTTACACTGATAGGATCCTGCTCACTAATTGAAACAGTCATTTTGTTTGTGCAATAAACACGCATTAACAGAACTCGTAGCAGACATTCTGAATGCCAGCTGCACATAGTGGGTTGTATTTTGACCATCTAAGGTGGATATATATTAGGTTGCCCATGCTAAGAGCTCTCATGCCTTATATATTGCGACCTATGTGACGGCAAATCTGTATTGTTGCTGATATGAAATTTATGTGCTGATGTGGGTTCTTTGATCTTGCCGCCATCAATTGGTGGTGCATGCTAATAGTCGAACCATTTTACGATTTAAAACTCTATTGTCCACTTTTTTCTTTGTAGGATCCTTAAAAGGGAAAGATGATAGTGCTCCGAAATCAGCCAAGGGGAGGAAAGTTCATTTTGCTGAAGAAGGTTAGCAGTACATCTCTACTCTCTTCATACTGCCTCTCACTAAAGTATGAAAATCATAAAATTTTCTTAAGATGCTGGAACTGAAGTTTACATGATATTGATCTCGTTTACAATTAGTTGTATAATTTCCTTACTAATTGAATGATGTAATTCTTGTGTATTATAGGCTCTTTTGAAACCATATCAGGTAGTTCACCAATGTCTGGGGGAAAAGCCTCTAGCACACAGTTTAAAGGTATTATTATCTTAACCTTTTTTTTGGTAGATACCCTTTTTACAATCTTTAAGTATGTTTCCATTTCCCATTTTAGCAGTACTAAGTTCTTTTTTTATATATTTGTATTATGGTATTTTTCATTTTCATGGCGATTGGAATAAAGGAGGAAAGGGAGAGAAGATTGCAAATGGAAGAAAGACTCCTTTGTCTGAAGGCTCAAAATCATCAGAATTTGGCATTGAGCAGGGTTGGTAGTCGCCTTAATCTTTTACTTGATTGTTGACCTAAACAGTATATGCACTTGCTTTTAACATGTAAAATACTGCGGTGGCTGGGCCTAAGAATTGCATCGGACATATATCTTGTATTACTTGATTCCTTTTAGGACTCTAGGTTTGTGTTGATAATACTCATCTGATTAAATCAACAGTTCTAAATCTTCTTGGTGACTTTTGCAGAACTTCCGAACAATGTCAAATGCTTGATGAATTGTGAGGCTGCTGATATTTTACTAGGAATTCAAGATCAGATGACAATATTATCTAAAGATCCAACTATCAAAATACCTGCGTAAGGGAGCATTAAAGATTTTCTTCTTAGGTTGAAGAGATGCTTTGGTTACTGTTTATCTGAAAATTTTCTTTATTTTCTGTTCTAGATCATTTGACAAGGGACTGCAGTATGCCAAAAGCAATGGCCATTATACAAAGTCGGAGTCTGTTAGGAGCATTCTAGAGTATCCTTAATTTTTCAGATTGGTATGTTTATAGGATTGTGTCCGGTGTGCCTAGGTGAGTTTGCATGAATAAATAGTACTAATGCTTGGATGTGACTTTCCTCTTTATTCATAATGTTCATATATTGTTTGAATCTTGACTATAAGATTAGGCCTTTGGCAGATCTTGGTGTCTCTGATGCGGAGGTATCATTCCCCTTCTAGTTTCCCTTGTTCTTGCATATTCTGTAGGGTTCCTGACAATAAATCTTGAACTGCAGCTATGTGTGATTGGTAATGTGTGTCCAGAAACATTGGAAGAGGTTTATGCTCTGATCCCGTCACTTAAGGTATGAAATGTCGAAGTCATAATGAATTGAAAATGGGCATATCTCGTTCATTTAAATTTTTATAGGAAGGAATGTAAAGGTTGTTATCGAAAATTGTTTTTTTTAACTATATAATGGAGGTATCTCACGATTATTGAACAAATATTTATTATACAAAGGAGGCCTTCTGTGGATGAGTAAATTGGCTGGTGCAGAAATTATTTATTTAGGTCTCCAATCCTCTGATGTTAAATCTGGGAAGCTGTTGATAGACTTCAGCTTATGTTACATTTTGGTAACGTTCATGATATTATCATGTGATCCAGCTCTGGGAATTGGTAGAAAATCATTTAATGTAGTTTAAACATATACAGAGAAGGTCGCTAAAGCCGCTAGTGAGAACAGTTGGGCATATGGTGAATGATACTAAGAAGGATACTCAAGGAAGTTATCAAATTGGTGAATGATATATTTGAAGAATTAGTTGTTGACGTGTAATTCATGTAGCTAACCTTGTTTAGCCGAACAAGACTTATGTCTATTGTTGTATGGTGAGGGATATCCCCATATTTTGTTTTGGCCAAATTTTCAATTGAAATTTTTGGAAGTGCTCTCCCTAATATCCCATAATCTGGAGGAATCTAACTATGTCAAAAGGATCTACTTCCCCCTCTTTCATATTTTTGACGTCTTGAGTGCTTTCTATAGTTGGCTGTTCCTTGACTCCTTATTTCCATTGTTGTCCCATTTCGGCTGCCTCTGTTTTCTGACCATATTATTTTCATGGCAGGATCAGGGTCCTGTTTTAGATATAATTTTAAGCTTTTTAGTTGTGTTCTCTCTAATTTAATCCGCAATTTCAGATTTCCGCTATCAATATAAAATATTAGATCTATAATAAAGCAATTATTTATGAATTATGAATAGGATGACTCGCTTCAAATCCTGTAAAACATGCTGGAAAATGTGTCTACTCACACACACACATGTATATATGTAAACGTGGCAATTCATCACTGTTGCAGGTCAGGAGAAGTAGGATCGAAGGACTTCTCAGAGATATGCTAAAAGAGCTTGGGAAACTTAAGAAACCCATGTAAAGCCACGTGATGCAAGGGAAAAGGCCTACTTGCTGGTCAGTTTTCTCTTATTAAGCATCAGTTCAGAATTTTCCTTTTGCTTCTTTACTTCTGTATCCAATTTTCCCCCCTGGCTATATATGCAGGTTTTGAATACTTCGTGGCATGTTGAGTACTGCAGATTTATGAATGTAGAGATGTAGAAATTAATTAGCGTTCTGTGAAACATTGTGTATTATGAAAAGCACTTTCTGAAAGAGCATGTTAGCTGCTTCTGAGACAAAATATCAAGTTTAACGCATGTTTTATATGCCTGTTTGAGCTAATATTGCCCACATGAACCTTTTTTTTAAAAAAAAAAATTATCTGCTTAGTTAAGAATTTTGAAATTAAATAGAGTTGGTTCTGAATTCAATCCAAAATAAAATTTTAAAGATGTATGGTTTCTAACTTTAAGACTTGATTACAATACTTCTATTTGGAGCGATTTTAAGTATCTTTATAAGCATTCTCTGTATTAAGAGGCATGTCTTAACTCTGGTAAACTCCCGGAACTTAGCTCACTCACATTTTTGTTGTATAAAAAAAATACTTATTTTTGGACTTACTCTCAAATGCAAGCAAGTTTGAAAATGAAATTTATTTAAACCTAGATTTGATCTAAATAACTATCTGCCTGTATATTTTTAGTTCCAAAAGAAATATAATCTGAACAATAACTCCGAACAATATAAATTCACATTTCACCCTCTTATGTTACAGGGAACATACCCAGTTATCCAAGATTTCTTTAAACTGAATACACAATTTGTTATACAGAGTATGGTTGTAGTCAATTAAGGTTGTTTAGATGTTTGATTATGTTCCATTTTGGATGAAAATCATATGAAAAGCTTGGTTCAATTCAGATCATGCCAAAATAACCTCCTTATTCTTTTAAATATATAATGGTATTAGTTTTTATTTTAATTTTTTATTATTGAAATTTGCAGTTAAACATAAAAATAACAATTTATGTTAAGATAATATATAATTTTGTAATTAAATTGTACAGTATAAAATAATTATGGTATATTTGCAAGCAATGACATTTTTTGACAAGACGCTGATATCTTCACATCAACAAAAGCGTAAACTAAATTTAATCGGTCTGCTTTGGTTTGATACAAGTTTTAAAGGGCAAAAATCGAAATTTGACCCAAATTTAGTCGGCTGGCAAAGCTACAACCCAAAGTCATAATCAAATTGAAAAAAAATAAAAGTACGGGATTTTTTTTTTTTAAAAGGTGTTTGTCATCCCCTCAACGAAACTTGAGGAATCAAAAACTGAATTGGATATTAAATCGGTTAAAGTAGTGGTTCAAAAGTTAGTAAGTCAAATTAAGGTTCAGTCGGGATCAAACCAGTTATATTAAAATAATATACTCCTCTAGTCTTTAATATAAGACCCATTTAACTAATTTGATTATATTAAGGAAATTAGGTAAGTTAGTTAATTATAAGAAATGTGACACGTTTTTTCTAAAATACCATAATCATCTTTCTTAATACTCTCTCTTCCTCTTTTACTTGATTATGGTTGAGAGAGTATCCATAGGGGTAACTTAAAAAAATTGATAAATATGAGAAATGAGTTTTATATTTAGGATCAAAACCAACTCAATAATCAGGTCCTATATTAAGGACCGGAGGAGTAATATAATTAAAAATAACAAAATACAACAATAACAATAATCACTAATAACAAAATACAAGAAAATAAAACAATAATTTGATTGTAACAATAACAAAGTATAAAAATATTGAGAATTTTGATCTTTATAATTTCTTAATAATTAAAATTAACAATCATTTATACCAAAATCATCATTAAAATTCATTCAAATTCATAATGATTGAGATATTAAAAGTTGGATGAGAAAAATTAAGATCAATAATAATATAATTATCTAAGTCGGTTCACTCCCAGTTTATCACCAGTTCAATACTTAAATCAAAACAAACCATTGATTGGTTTACCAATTTTCTGGTTCAACCAGTTGGTTTGGTTTGGATTTTTGCTCATTGACAAAACTTCTCCCAACCAAGGGAAAAAATTATCGATTTCCTCTCATCACGACAAACAGCCCTTAATATAATTTAATCGGGAAGAAATGATATATTTCGTAAGTGTAAGAGCAAAAACTTAACCTTCTTATTCCTTTTTATTAAAATTACTTTTTAATTTTAAACACAAACTGGCCCTTGCTTAATAATTTAAATCTCGAAAATTCATTTATTTAAACTTAAAAAGTAAGGATTTTTTTTAATTTTATCCTCGTTCTTAGAACAATTATATAGAAGAATTTTTTTAAAACAAGTTTTGGAAACCAAAGATTAAAAAATCTGTTCCTAACATTATTTTGAAAAACATATATAAAATAATGAAGTGGGACATAAAAGAATAGTTTGTTTTATTAGCAATATTGTCATTAACGAAAACAATATTTTATGTTTCTCCTCTAATTTCATATAACAGAACGTAACAAAATATCAAAAAGATATACTGATTGTTTTTGGTATTTCAGAACAAATTGTTTTTCACAACACATGACCGAAAATACAACTTAAAACATGATCTTTTAATTTTTTGTTTTTTAAAACAAAAAATTATTTTCATAACAGCAAGCCCTGAGTCTTTAGAAATTTCATGAATGCGAATTACAAGATTTTTTTTTTTTTGGTTGACCATGAATTACAAGATAATAAGTGATAGAGAGATGATGATAGACCAAATAATTAAGGAAAATTAATAAATAGATTATAACAGACTTGGAATTAGTCTGTAAGTCAAATCTTAAAGGCCTCTTCTTCAAGTTCTTGCCACTTCCACTGGCACGAGCAGCCCGCATTTTCAGCTCCTGAGATCATTTTGGCTTCTTCTTCTTCTTCTTCTCCCCTTTCCTGTGCCTTTGAACAACTCATCAACGGTTTCTTAGAGAGGCTGTCGCTGTGTGAAATCTGAATCTCTCTCTCTCTCTGCGCTAATCGTTACGTTGCGGGATGGGACGTGCGCTATCGCTGAGATTCCTAAACATTTTTCGTCCAAAGAAGCTCCGTTACCACCGTATCTCTAACTTTTCTGATTCCCAGACTCAACCTCTTCTCGAAAATCACAATCAGGTACGTTTCAGTGTTCTCTCGTTTCAATTTGTATCCAAATCATCTCACTCGACCTCTAATCTCAATCGATTTCAGTTTTCTGATATGAGCGGTACTGTACTTGGTTTCTCAATTGTTAGATTATATATGTAGCTTTAGTTTTGAATTATTTTTTTTTTTGCTAATGGATGAGGACTAAACTAGTGATTTGACTCTTGAATCGTTCTTAGTTTTTTAAGTCTTGAAAAGAAAACTGTTCAATTTGTTTGATCGTCTGTTATGATAAGGTTATGCTTTTTCTGTGTTTAGTTCAAGGAAGCAGAACTGGAACATGATGTTCAAGCCTCCTGGGAAAAATTATCAGCTCTAGAGAAGGGACTTGGAGCCTTCAAATCCAATCTTTCTAGGCTTGAAACGAAGCTCCAGATAAAGGTTTTAGTTTTTTGAGCCCTTGAAAAAGTTGAACCTACTTGATTATGGAATATAGTTAACTTCCTGGAAAGTTATGCAGATTTCCCGGGAAAGATACAGAAATGAGAAATTTTCTCTTATGTGACAGGCCGAAGAAGGCAATAATCAACATGAAGCAATCACAAGTCTTGAACAGAAGGTTGACAAACTGAAGAAGCGTCTTGATGATCAGATTATTTTAGCCCAAACTAAAGTATTAGTTTTTTTGCCCTTGAAAAAATATTGAACCTACTTACATGTGAACCTTTTTCGTTCATATATGAACTATTTTCCTGGAAAGTTACAGAAATTTTGACCGTGTGACAGGCCAAAGAAGCTAGTGATCGACAAGAAACAATGACTAGTCTTGAACAGAGGGTTGACAAGTTGAAGAATTGTGTTGATGGGATTATTCTGGGACATGAATGTCAGAAAAAGATGAACTCTAATGTGAGTTACTACACACAACATTGCTGATTATACCAAATTAAGAAAAAAATCAGTCATTTTGATTAATTTTTCCTATTATTTTAAAAAATAGGAAATTCTTAAACAAGAAGGAGCCACTATAACAATAGAAGAAAATAATAGCAATATGGAAAAGAAAGTTGCAGAGTTGGAAACCAGGGTCAATGAGATAACTTCTTCCATGATAGATATGATCGCTGATATATCTGAGCCTAAGGATAAATATTCTCCAAACCCTCAGGTAAATCTAGATAATAAATGAATATATAATAATATATTGTGTTTAATATCAATAATTAGATACACTTGATGAAAGATGGGGGTGGAGTGGAGGAAAACAAATAGATAGTTGTATTTTATAGTTGGTCTTTATAAAATTGTTGTGGCTTGCAATTAGGAGTTAGCCAATTAATAGTAATTTAATTTTAGAATCCATACTTTGCATGGAGCTCAAAATTAAAATTCATATAATTCATAAGTTTTATAAACAATATAATTTCCAGAGCTTAATTTACACACACACACACCATTATTGATAGTTTCTCTTTTGTAATGCAGGAGGCACTGACTAAAGTACCAGATATGATACAAATTTCTGAGAGTGATTTAGTCACACTATGCTTCTTAATTCTGGTTTTCATTGCTGCATTTATCATTGGTAAAAATTTGTAATCCTACTTAGTGCTTTTTTTTTTTTTTTGAAGTCTTGAGGATGTTCAAGTACATGTGCTGGTCGCTGGGTGAAATAACTTAGTTGTAAAAAATGTATCGTATATTGATATCTCCCCATGCCATACCCCTATCCTATTTACAAGATAGAAAAAAAAAAATTTGTCTTATTTATAAGTCACATTAAATTTTTAGCGTTAATGTACTACTTTATTCTAATTTATTATAATGTACATAATTATTTTTTAAAAAGCATATATATTGAATAGGAATAAAATTAGAATGTTGTTATGTTTTAAGATAGAGTTAATTATTTTTAGTCTTATTTATAAGTTAAACTTTAATATTTACAGGTCAAACTTCAGTGTTTGTAAATAGCTGGAACCAGTGAGTAATTATTATTTTTCTTATTTGGGGATCTGTATGAAACAAGCCTTAATTTCTAGTCCTAGGGCTCGGAAAGTGCGAGGATCAGGCAGGGGCGATATGTGTTGGCAAAAAACGAAAAGGAATTCACCCCAGCCCGATGTCCATTACACTAATAACGTTTTGTAGCCCAAACCCCATCCCATCTTGAAATGATCCATTGCCTCAACGGGCCAGCGATAATCCCAAAACCTTCTTCTGTTGCCGAAGATTGATTTTTTTTTTTGGAAAAACTATATTGGAGGTACCTATATTTTTTTCAATTTTTAATTTGGTACCTATGTGTTTTTTGTTCTTAACTAAATCTTTATTTTTCCTCTATTAACATCATTAATCCTTATGTAGAGACTAAAAATATCAATAGAACAAAGTTATAAGAGTTAATGTTGCTAAAAAGATAAAATTAAATGTTTAATTAAAGAGAAAAAAACACATAGGTACCAAATTAAAAATTGAGAGAAAGTATAGGTACCTTCAATATGGTTTTTCCTTTTTTTTTTTTGCTTTCACATCCAGTATCCTAGGACATGTCACCTTTAAGGCACATCAATGGTTTCAGACTAATCCGGATCACTAATTGTGGGCATCTCAAAGGGTGGGATAGCTGACCAGGAGATTTAACGCTTTTCATGTCCAAGATTTGATTTTGGTTTTACATTATTGCTAATTAAAATCTTATTAGTGAACGATCTATAAATACTTGTAAGTATTTTTTAAGCCTGAAATATGTCCTGGTTCTAATGAATTTTCAGGACTCAACTTACTTAAATTTTTTTGTATAAAAAAAACTAAAATTATAAACCTGTAAAAAAAAAATTATCAAGTCCTTTGGGACAAAAATAAAAAAGTTGAATCATAGCTTCCAACACTGATTTATATAATAAAGCAAACATCAATTGACTGTCCATTAACACTGATGTTTCATGAAAACTTACAAGTAAAAAGTCACGGGTTTGAACACATTTATAACTTTATACTATTAATGCCTACCTCTCTAACTGAAAAAAAAAATTACATTAATATGCTTATACCATTTCACTCCATAATATAAAATCTACTTAAATAATTTGAGTAGATTAAAAAACTAATTAAATTAGCTATTTATCAAAAATATCAATTAATCTTCCTAAAACTCTCTTTTAAATCATTGGCATTAAAAGTACTCATTGATACAAATTTTCTTAACATGCATAATCAATAAGAATAATTTGGAAAAAAAATGATAAGAGACAAAACAAATTAAAATTTTATATTTAGGATCAAACTCACTCTTAACTAGCTTTTATATTAAAAACTTTCCAATTAAGGCAGTCAAGAAAACCATAATTTATTGAAGTAAATAGTAGAATAGACATCAAAACAATCATATATTCTGACTATTCTTCAATCTTCAATACCAAAGCGTTATATGCCAATCCCTTGTACGATAGTAGTACCATGACTGAATCCTATATGCGAGCCTCCAATATCCAAGAATGCTAATGAATATCCCTATTGTCATCTTCTAGTATCTCAGCTGTCCTAGTTCTAACCGATTCATGAGAAAGGACCATGAAAAAAGAACTACCCATGAAACCTCTTAAATCACATTGAAATGATACAACATTCCTTGCATAATGAAAACTAATCCTAAAACCCATAGGTTATATGTTGTTTGGGAGGAAGATGAATCTGACTCTTTATCAGTAACACCCACAGGAAATTTACAACCACCAACCGAAGGGTCTGAAGAGGTTACCATTCCTAGGCCATCAAAATTGCAGCTTCTTGAATCTTGCATTTGCAGCTGATAGTAACTGTTAAAAGCATAAGAGACGTTACCTTTCGCGCCAATTCCATTACATGAACCTCCATAGTCAAGCGTTGTGCAATCTGCAACACTGCAAGCTAGTCTCATATGGTTGGCCACGGTGGTCAAGTCACTAGAAGGGCTTGCCACACACCACCTTGATGGAAGATACTGAACATTCTTAGCATTCTTCAGTTCTTTATTTCCAAGGCCAAGGTTTAATGGATACTTAACCTTCCCATCGAACGAGAATATTCCCCAGTGTCTTTCGAAGCTTCCCGGAAGTGTGCTTTTTGCACCTTCATCAAGCAGGCTGAAAATATAAATATCCATTGGAGAGGAATTAGGCCTCAAGGGTGTCCCTTTGTTACTTAGAACGTGGTTTACAAGGCCTTGGTTGAATACTTTTGCAGCTGTGATATTTGTCCCAATGGCTCCATCTGAAGGCCAACCGATTTCCCCAATAACTATAGGCATCTGGCCATAACCAAGTTTAGTCAACGCTGCCACTAAAGTATCATAGTTTCCATCAAATGCATTGGTGTAAACATTGGCACCATCTGTGACGGGATGAGTAGTTCCCTCAAAAAATGCATAGTCTTGGGGGAAATCTCCGTTGTCATAAAGGCTTAAAAAAGGGTAGATATTAACCACAAATGGGGAGCCATTGGAGTTGAGAAACTGAACAAGCTGAGTCATTATTTGAGTCAGCTCAGGACGGAACGCCCCTTGTGAAGGAATCGAGGACTCGTAGGCATCGGCATTACAAGGGACCACAATTTTTACATTACCAGCAAGATTTGCTTTGACTAGAGACTGTTGCAGATTGAGTACTGCAGGCATGACTAAGTTCTGAAATTGACCATTATAACTGGTCAGGAAAGGTTCATTTCCAACAGCAATGTACCTGTCATCAACGGCAGAGGGTTAAAAGGGCCTGCAGGAAATCAAAATTAACTCTCTTTAATGGAAATCTAGCTCTAAGCACAGGCCTTAGAATTAAAAAGCAGAAGGCATTTCTACTTCAACTTTCATCAGTTATTAGAGAAGGAGTTGTTATCAACAGTTTATCTGATTCCTTGATCCATTTGATGCCCGGACAATAAAGGCTTGTGAACTAGATCAAAAGCCATATGTAGTTACATAGCTTCGGATGTAAAGCTATTTATGTTATGCATCATATAAAAAATGTTTGTGTCATCACTATATATCAACTTAAATAATAGTAATAAGACGGAAACATGAGTTCCTTTTTCCACGCATAGGAAGTCTATCTCTGGGCGAAATAAGTGAAAGCACACAAACTTGACTACAAGTTTGCAATATATCTTTAGTTATGTCTAAATTCATTCTTGCAGCAAGCAAATACTTGTTTCATTTTTTGAAGTTGACAAAATATACAGTCAATTAGACTTAGTAACAAAACAGAGCTACTTCTTCCTCTGGTTTACTTCCTTCATTGAGGCTAGTAGCTCTGGAACAGAACTTGATATTATTTGATAAACGCTAAAGTTTTTAATAAATTTCCATTAGAGTTTTATACTGTGGATATAAATTCTGAGTAGTCGAAAATAAGTAATTAAGCTAAAGCTTGCCATTCAGAATCGACAGCTTTATCTATTTGCAACAAATCACGATATTATTTGCTATTTGATTGATTCTTACTCAGACGCTCAAAATAAAAATAAATGCTCGTCCAGCCTCTACCGATAATTAAAAAATGAAAAGAACAAAAACGAAGAAAACTCCGATGAAGATCAAATCATTTTGCATCTCTGGAACAGCTGAGCTCTGTAGCTCCAGGGAATCACAACTTTCTAAGAGCTTGTTTCCGCGGAGGACAACCAATCTAAAGCAGAACAGAGCGGCTCGTAATCATATGATCATAAAAGAAAAAAACAGATACCCTGGAAAGATCACCGGTTTACAAAAGAATTTCCGCCCAAAAAAAAAAAAAACCTGCATCCTGAACGGGAGAAAAATGGGAAAAAGATCCTTTTGAAAGATATTTTACTCAAAACTTTCGTCCATGTTTATGTTAAACGTAAAATCCTGAGCTATCCTCACTATCATCACTTCAAACGAAATCCTTCACATTCTTACACAACTTCTACCAGGTATTCAACACGACGGGAAGCTCAAAATCCATGTTTCCTAGACAACAACTCTAGACTCCTTAATAAAATTCCGTTAAACATCTCGGGGAAAAAAAAAAACAAGAAGGAAATAATAAACAAGAGTACATAAAGAAAGAAGAGACGAACCTGATAGAGACACCACCTTTGCCCATATAGGAAGAAATATTCTGACGAACCCACAAATCCGCAGCAGAAGGGGACGAGCTCAACAGAGATAACATCTCGTTGGGGATCCCAACCATTACCTGAATCCCACTTCCTTTCAGAGCCGTAAGAACATCTGCCTCCGCGTCGAACAGCTTCACCTTTGGGATATTATTGTCCTTCAAGAGATCCACCACTGTCGAAGGCCTCAGCCTGCGAAACGATACCGTTCCCCAGTTCACCCCTATCGCCGATTCCACCGTCGGAACTGACCTCCAAGCAAGTAACCAGAGAAAAATGGAAGTTGCCAATCTACGCTCCAACATTCTGCAACTCAAAAACGTTACTCTATGGGCTAAGGTTTCCAAAACTAAACAAGCAAGTTATTGATAAGAGAATTTGCGATGGAGAAGGAGACAATAACGGAGGCTATTAGAATCAACTCGGTGTGAATCGGAAGATGAAGAAGGGGTGAAGAGAGAAGAGTGAATCGCGCGGAAATGCGAGTGGTGTGTGTATGGCGAAGATGGCGCAGACAGAGCATGCTGGAGCTTCAGGAGTATTACTAAGCGGGATGTGCAGAAATTACCGAATTGCCCATGTCACGCTAAATGAAATGTCATTTCACGTTATCTTTAATATAAGAGTTTGTTTAATTTTTATTTTAATTGTAAATATAAGATCTTAATACACTTTATCTCTTATATTTATCATTTTTTTAAAAATAATTCTAATAATAATAGTAGTTTTAACTAATAGATTTGATTAATAAAAATATTTTAAAAAAATAATACCTATTTATTATAAATAACTAAGTTAACTAATTTTTTTATCTATTTAAATTAATATATTAGCTTTTATATAATAATGACAGGGGATACTACCATGAGACGCTCCTGTTTGCGTTGCTTTCTTCCTTCCATGTCGGCGCCATGTTGCCCCGTGCTCATCAAGCTCAAATGCTCCTATCCATGGAATTCCTTGTGATGTCGGTTTGTATTTTTTTTTAATATTTCTTTAGTATTTAACATGAGATCTATTAAAGAATAGATTGAAAAATTAAATAATAAATACAAAAGATAAAATAAATTGAGATTTTATATTCAGAATAAAATCTCACTTCTAATTAGCTCTTATATCAGGAATCAAATTAACAAGACTAATTAATTAATCATAATTGAATTATAAAATGTTGATTAAAATTAAGGAAAAAAATAATGTGACATTCAAGAGTGAATTAACAAGATACTTCTCCGTTCCTTAATATAAGACATATTGAACTAATTGATTAGATTAAAAAGTTAGGTAAGTTAGTTAATTATAAAAAACATGACATGTTTTTTCTAAATACCTTAATTATCTTTCTTAATATCATCCTTCTTCACTTACTTAATTATATTTGAGAGAGTATCTATAAAGATAATTTAAAAAATTGATAAATATAATAAATAGATCTCATATTTAGAATTAAAATTAACTTAATAATTAAGTCCTATATTAGATATCAATGAGATGAGTATTTATCTTTGGAGGCCTAATTGAAGATAACCTAATGCGTTGTTGTGTTTGAAGGGAATGAAGATGGATGGTGGCCATCAAAATTGGATCATTTTCATGTGATTTTAATTGGTCCAAAGCATCATGAAATGGCAACAGGGTCAAAGACATTGTGAGTAGAGAGAAGATATTCAATTGTTCAGGTTTAGCTCACTTGACACGTGTTAAGGGGATGAGCTTGAAGTTGATGAATTTATTAAAAAAAAAATTATAATTGATGCTTCCTAAACCATTGATTTTAAGACCTACACTTCTTTATAATTGTGGCCAAGGTCAAAAACAAGAAAAACAAAATCAATGCACTAGTGACTAGACATTGTACTAAAACACTTATTTCTTTTCAGCGTATCACTGTAAGTTCAAAAAAAAAAAAACCTATAGAAGGAATAAATAGTACTTCTTTGGTTTCAAATATGAAGCATTTTACTTAATAAAATTAAGAAAAGCCATTAAATGGTTGATATTTAAATAACAAATGGACTACATGTTAGTGAAGCATAATAATGAAAGGCAAGTAATTTTAATATATTTTTAAATTTTAGAGACATTTTCGGTAAAAATATATTAGTTTTCCTTAAAATTTCATAAAGTATCTTATGTGTTGAAACACTTAATTTTTATTGAAAAAAATCTAATATTTAAAACTAATGTGGTACTTTTTTCTGTTTTCAATATAAGAGTTACGTAACTAATTTCATGATATTAAAAAAATTAGTTAAATTATTACTTATAAAAAATATGTTTTGATTTTTAAATTATTTTTTAAATCATGTATTAATAAAATATAAATTTGAAGGCAAAGAGGCAGCAGTTAAATAAAAAATTTTAAAAAGGAAGCATCACATGGTGAAAAGGTGAAACGGACAAACAGAGGTGCGTTCAGATTTCCTAGTAATTTTTCTAATTGTGGTCATAATTATCATATTTTTACATCTAACCAATCATCATCCTCCAGATATAACAAGGCGGCCGCAGATTTATCATTTATATGATAATAATTTTGTCGTTTGGGGGGACAGAAAGAGAGTGTACGACGGAGAGAGCAACAAGTAGCCGTAGGCGATTGGAGTCGCGTCTGACTTCGGAATCACGCCAGCCGCATCGGATCGCTTCCCTTGCCAATTGGTCCTCTCTCTTTCTCTCTCATCTCATCCTCCTTTTCAACTTTTTTTTCTTAATATAAAATCTAATTACTAAATTAATTTTAATTTTAAATATATCAAGTAAGTAATAGGAAAGATCTGAAAAAAAATAATTATGACATTTTAATCTAATCAAATTAATTAAATAAGTCTTCTATGAAGAAATGAGGAGTGTTTCTTAGTTTCATACTCATCAACATATAAACTATGATCCATGACTAAACCCTTTTCTCTTGTATGTTGCATCATCGGAAAGATCAAGATTAAAAAAATTTATACTAACTTGTCAATATAAGAGATAGTTAGATATTTAAATATTATACCCCATTTTATTTGTCGTCCAATATGTAATTTGTTCTTTAAAATATCTTTTTGTTATACATGTCAAGGGGTTGTAATTTAAGGATAGTTATAATTAAAAAGAGTACTTTAAGAAAATCAAATCATATTTATTATAAATAACTAATTCAACTATTTTTAATCTATTTAAATTAATTAAATAGCTCTTATATTATTTATAAGAGATAGGATTTTATAAAACAAAACTATTTCCTATGAATATTACTCCTCTGATTTTAAACTAAGATCTATTTTATTATATAAACTAGATCTTATTTTAAAATCAGAAAAATATTTTACACACCACAATACGAGTATATATTTATTGTAAAAAGTTCAAAAGCAACTACAACCGAACACAACATAACTTTTCTAAGACACAGATCATCTATCAAGGAGGTTTTGTATTGATAATCTTCAATTAGAGTATATTAATATGATAATTTTTATACTATTTTCATTTAAATAAATTAATCCCATAAGAATTAATTGAAAAATGTCTCATTTATTTTAACATATAGTATTAATTTAATTGCAAAGTAATATACGCTATTTGGGAAAATAATTGACCTGAGTCGAACTATTTGACTATAAATTATATTTTTTCTTAGTTAAATATCCTATATATTCAACTTTTAAACACATGAATTTTAAGAGCATATAAATTCGTCAGTGATACTCCTCCAGTTCTTAATATAGGACTTAATTTTTAAATTAATTTTGATCTTAAATATAAGATCTATTTATCACATTTATCAATTTTTTTCTAAATTATCTCTATAAATATTCCCTCAACTATAATCAAATAAGGGAGAAAGGGAGAATATTAAAAAATATGCTTATAGTGTTTTAAGAAAAACATCATTTTTATTATAATTAATTAACTTATCTAACTTTTTTAATCTAATCAAATTAATTAAATAAATCTTATATTAAGAACGGGAGGAGTACTTCATTTGCTTGTCATAATTATCTTTCTTATCATTTGAATCACTTTAGCTAGGGACGTTGGCCGACTTAATTATCATTTGAATGAGAAAAAATCAAAATATAAGAGTACTTTAGCTTCTGGTCCGAAAAAAAAAGAAGTACTTTAGCTAGGGACGTCGGCCGAGACGCCGAGTTAATTACCGCAGGAAGTTGCCATAATTTGTTTTCAATGATCATAGTATGTTATTTTCTATTGAATAAAATGATTGACTCCTTAAAAGTACACTTTTCTTTATTAAAACTAAGAATTAAGAATATATGCTAAGAAAATTATCTTAATCTTATCCTTAGGTCATTACGGTGTCATTCACTAAACTTGCCTTTGTGCCCTTTAATAAAAGTTCATATGCATCCGAATCAGATACTAAAAGCCCGTTTAATACGAAACATTAAAAATGAAGAATTGAGATTGAGATTGCAACTGAAAAAAAAAATCATTAAAATAGTATTTAGCATGAGTAATTGCTTCTTATATGGGATTAGCCAAACCTATGTATGTGAAATTGGAGAATACTATGAGGGGAAGTGGTATTCCCTAATCTCATCTCTATAGGTTTGTCTAATTCCATAGAACAAGCAATCTTTTATATTAAATACTCTTTTAATGAATTTTCTCAATTGCAATCTCAGTCCCAACTGCTCATTTTTAATGCCTCCTATCAAACATAACCTAAGATCTCAAAATTAAAATGCTCTAATGACGGGTCCCAATATGCTTTAGACTTTGAAAGAATTAGAATTAATAAGATTAATTAATATTATAATCCCTGTCAGGAGACTCACCCACCACAGTTAGGTGAACGACGCGGGTCGGATCCATATGTAGTTGGAGCAAAGTTCTGGTAAACTGGGTGGATAAAAAAAAAATTTATAATCCACGCAATTAATATCCTTCTTATCTTCAATACCCCCCCCCCCAAAAAAAAAGTGTCAAGCTATGACCTGTTCACAAAGGCATTTTGTCTATATCTTAGAGGGTCCTTTTGTCCTTCAATTATGAAAGAACATTTGTCAGATTCCTATTGAGCATCGAACCATTGATTTAGATAAGATTTTTAGCCGAATTTATTACATTCAAAATTTAAATTAATTGTTGGAACCTTTTGAAGTGACCTTAGCGAGTAAAAACCTACTGATTACTGACTACAGGTGTGTTTTAGAAGATAATTAGAAACAAAAAAGGAAAGATAATTAGACTGAGCATAGCACGATAGTGGAAATATGACCTCTTTACACTTATGGCCCAATGACACTAAGAAGCTCTCTTAATTTTTTGAAAGAATTACAATAAAATTTCAAAAAAATAAATAATTACTAAAAAGTCTTAATAACAATTTAAATAGTTTGGAATAACAAATTCAAGAGCAGGAAATACAACTTTAAGGACTTATTTTGTAATTATTTTTTCCGTTCAAATCTTATTGTAAATCTCTGTTGTTATGAATATAATATCTTTATGGATGTCTATGTATCTATCATTATCTCCCTTATCTCCTAGTATCTTCAATATCTTCTATTATCCCCATTATCTGCAATTATCTTTTATTATTATGTTATCTGTAAATTCTATCAAAGATGTAAAGCTGTAGCTATAAATAGAGACCATGTATAATGTATTGAGTATCCTTGAATGCAACGAGAAATACTCTCTCTTATTAATATTCTTTTCTTCTCTATTATTCTTCTTTATTTATAACATCTGTAATTTTTTCGCCAATTATAGGTACTCTTTTTTCAAATGTATCATTCACCAATTCAATAACTTGCTTGAGTATCCTTCTTGGGAGGTGTCTATGTATCATGTTAAAAGTATTTTTTTATAAATCGGGATAAATTTTTATACATATTTACTTCATATATTGTAAAAATACTTTTAAAACCATAGTTTGAAGTTATTGTCTATCGTTGGCCTCTATGGTAGAATCAATCGAGGGCTTGAGAAGCGGTGGTTTACCCTGTGGTGGTATCTAAACATTTTTTTTAGTTTCTCTTCATATTTCCTACGTAGAACTAAAAACCATATGCTCAACTGTTCTCACTAGCGTCTTTAGCAACCTTCTCTGTATATGTTTAAACTACATTAAATGATTTTCTACCAATTCCCAGAGTTGAATCACATGATAATATCATGAACGTACGTTACCAAAAAGCAACATAAGCTGAAGTCTATCGACCGCTTCCCAGATTAACATCACAGGACTGGAGACCTAAATAAATCATTTCTGTACCTGCCAATTTACTCATCCACGGAAGGCCTTCTTTGTATAATAAATATTATTCCTCTTGTCTTAGATATAAGATCCTTTTTGTAGTGTAATTTACACTACAAAAATGGTCTTATAATTTACACTACAAAAATGTCTTATATTTAGAACCGGAGGAGTTCCTTCAGTTATTGATATAAGAATTCATTTAACTTTTATTTTAGTATTAAATATAAGATCCTAATCTATTTTGTCTCTCATATTTATTCTTTTTTCCTTTCAAAATAGTTCTTATAATAATAATAGTTCTAATCAATATACTTAATTAGCCATGATATTTTAAAAAAGACAACACCTATTTATTACAAATAACTAAATTAATTTTTTTAATCTATTCAAATTAGTCAATTAGCTCTTATACTAAAGACCAAAGATAGTATTTGTTCAATAATCATGAAATACCTCTATTATATAGTTAAAACACCATTTTCAATAACAACCTTTTACATTCTTTCCCATAAAAATTTAAATGAACAAAATATGCCCATTTTCGATTCATTATGACTTAGACATTTCATACCTTGAGTGACGGGATCAGAGCATAAACCTCTTCCAATGTTTCTGGATACACCCTGCCAGTCACACGTCGCTGCAGTTCAAGATTTTTTTACTGTCAATAAGAACCTCCGCATCAGGGACACCAAGATCTGTCAAAGGCCTAATCGTATACTCAAGGTTCGAACAATATGTGAACATTATGAATAAAGAGGAAATTCACATCCAAGCATTAGTACTATTTATTCACCTATTTGTTATCGTTGTATAGATGTTTTTTTTTTTGAGACAATCCTATTTGAGGCACTGTCAGGCACTAAATGTGAGAACCTCTTCTTGTAATAATTCAAACCTTAGTTCATCACATTGTAAGGGACTTGCCTCTTTCACTAAACCTAACCCTATTAGTAGCTCTCTTGCGTGTTTTTAAAATATGCCATTGTGTACCCCCTTGTCCTGTCGTCCATGAGTTCAGTTGGCGAAGAGGTCAGATTCTCTCACCAAAGAGAGGAGGTTTGATCCTGGGAAGTGCTACTTTGTTGTGGCTCCAGTCGTGGCGTTGAAAGAGGCATATTCGAAGCCAAGGCCTCAACTCTTAATATGTGGTGATCCTCCACGTGAAGCTCTCCCCGTCTCAATTTAAGCTAGGCACTGGGTAGGATTGGGGGTTAGTTTTCTTATCCTTAGATCGTGGGTGAACACGATCCCTTTCCTAAAATTTTATTTCACCAAAAAAAAAAAGACATTGTGTGTTCAATCTCTTGATGAGGCTGATGAAATGGCCCCAAAAATAAATAAATAAATAAAAATTATGCTTATTCAATTTTTTTTATAACGAGAGAAAATGAATCATACACACAGTAATACTCTTTTGAAGCATTCTCTATAAAACGTATGACATGTAATTATGTAGAAAATTAAAATTTGATTATGTTTAGTATAATAATTTTGTGAAAACTTTTTTTTTCTGGTGGTTGAATGTGAAATGAGTGATATATTATTCTATTTGTAAACGATTAAATAAGGATAAGCTTAAGATAAAAGAATAACGATTGAATGACCCTCACTTTTTTTTTTTGAAAATAAATAGAAAAATAACGGTACATTCCACATATTTATAAGGGAGAATTACAATGAGGTCCTAGATAAGGAAAACAATTGAAAAATAAGTTCCAGAGGTTATCGTTCTCCACTATAAGACTTGTTATTATTAGCTGTTGAAGTTGTTATTATGACTTTTTAATAATTATTTCTCTTTTATGGAACTTGACTATAATTCTCCCTATTTATAATTATATTCTTGTATGGTACTGTTTTAGAATACAGGTTTTAGGGATAACTAGATTGTTATTTTCTCTTGCAATAGTTCAGTGAACCTTTACAGTGATGGGACAGACTTTTAGACTCTAAGAAGATAATTTAGAAAAAAAAGAAATTGTGAATGTGATACTAATATCCCAACCAAAATCAAAAACTGATCCTTCCAATTTTATCTTTGATTAAAAAAAACAAAAAGTAATGAAGCATTTCCAAGCATAAAAACTAAACAAATTCACAATTACAATAATGAAAAAAGGGAATATTTTCTTCCAATAAAGTAAAGATCCTATTGTGAATGGATGATTCCTCATTCAAAGTGACCTTATCTTTTCTTTATCACTTTCATCTGCTTTAGGGAATCAAAGCATAAAATTGGGTCCTATGGCATAGAATACTGAAATCTTACTCCATACTCATCTTCACAAAAAGAGAAACGCAGGGACAAAAGTATATGAAAATTTGTCAAGTAGATTTTGCAAGTTGAAAAAATACATAAACAATTTATATATTATCAGTAATAATTTTTTTTTATTGACAATGAGTTAAATTTGAAGATGTTATTTTATTTTCCAACTAATTGAATTGATTCATAATTTTCTTTTTCTTTCAATTAGCAAAATGTTTGTAATCTTTTTTTTTTTTGGGAGATAATCCATTACAATACTGCGTATTTGCCGAAAACGAATTTTTAAACCTATCATAAAAAAAATACTCATAAACCTCTATGAAACTTTGTTCTTAGTTCTTCAACATTCCTGCATCCATTTTAATAGAATTAAACAGATAATTATCAAATTATTTTTGCAGCGGCAGAAAGAAAATGTCTTGTTTACTGTCGCCATAAAGTCCAGATCCTTCAACGGTACCCAGCCACAAGTTACTTATTCACGAATCACAGTGAACAGAAGTTTGTTCAAAAGCGTTTTGAGAAAATTACTCTGCTCTTTAACAACTAAACATCTAATTTGAATAAATTAAGAATATTAATTAAGTTATTTAATATGATATACTACTTTCAATTTTTAATATAAGTGATTTTTGACTTTATTTTGATCTTAAATATAAGACTCCAATTCACTTTTTCTATCATATTTTTTTTATTTTTTTCTAAGGTAGTTCTTATAATATTGTTAGTTTTAGTCAATACACTAATTTAAGAAGGATATTTTAAGAGAGATAATACATATTTATTACCAATAACTAATATAACTGATTTTATTAATCTACTCAAATTATTCAATTAACTCTTATATTAAAGAGTTGGTATTTTTTTAATACATTCTAAGCATCTTCCTTAATTTTCTCTCTCTCACACTTAATTATTGTTGGAGGAATATAAATAGTGTTGATTTTAAAAAAATTGATAAATACATTAAATATGTCTTGTATAAAATACTAACATTAGGGACTACATTAGCGAGGAGCATTATGATAGAATTTTTTTACCGAAATATGATTCGGAAGTTTGATGGTTATTAATTGATTCCATCTTCAGGTCAAAAATTCAAACATTATGAATTAAAAACATTACCTCAGGAAAAAAAACTCCAATTGGGCTTAACATTCTCTAAATAATCGGATTTAAACGCAAGGTATCATATACCTAACCATTTTTTTTAAATAGGAAAAAAAAAAAGATAAAAAGTGCATTCATCATTCTAATTATATTTTTCAAGCTCTGATTTATGGTCATCCCCCGCGCTAAAATTTAGTACACTGGATGTAACTAAAAAATTAAACTGAATACATGAGAAAAATAAAATTAGGATACTGAATACAATTTTAGCCTTAAAAAAAAATACTAATTATATCCCATCAATAAACATACAAAAGTATAAAAAGCTGACTCTAATATGTAATACTACTTCCGAAACTAATTTGACTTTTAATTTAAATCTAAATATAAGATTTTAATCTACTTTGTCCATTATATTTATCTAATTTTTTTAAGATAACTCTTATAATAGTTACAAATGTTAAATATTTCATCAAATCACACTTGATTAACAAAGACAACACTTATTTATTAAAAATAACTTAATTAATTTTCTAAATCTACACAAATTAGTCAAGAAACTCTTACATTAAGCAGATGTAATAGTATATAACAGTAGTATTCATTACTTCTTATATTATCAAATATCATCGCATACAAGTGCTGAGCATACATAGCTTTTACGTAAAAAGACACGGCCAATGTGATCCCTGGAAAAAAAATGTCTTACGACACAAATTTGTACACCCTGTTTCATCCACTTTCCACCAAGAAAGACTAAAAGGCCCATCAAAACATCAAGCTGCACCGCATTCGAACAGAGTCACATGACAAGAAGGCAAATAATGCCATAGCAAGAAAGTCCTTATGAACCTTTTACGTATGTGTTTGGATGCTTAGCACCTCACAAAATCCGGCTGATTGGTCACAGATCTCACCCATGACCACTTGTGATCTTTTGTGTTCACTGCGTTCTTCGCTTGAGCAACATCTTCCAATGGTATATATGCATAATTTCCATTAACAGGGCCTGCAACAAATCCGGTGTAACCAGCCATAATCCCATGGACAGCCGAGTGGGCTAGAAGGGAACAATACAAGTTATCGGTAGCATTAGCCGGAACTGCCCGGATCATGTAGGTAGGATCTATGTACTTCACTGTGAACAACTCACCCGGGTGGTCCCTGTCCCACCAGTTCTTTAGCTCGGACTTCAACCATGCACCCACGTCTAAGAAAACTAAGTTACCGGATTCATCCCTCTCTTCCTTTTGTGCTTCGCTTCTAGGTATTAAGTCCTGGCCTGCACCCTCGGCAACCACAAGCACTGCATGACCATTTTCCTTCAGTTGTTCATCCAGAAATTCGAAGAGCCCTCCTTTTCCTTCCAAGTAAAAATCTGTTTCAGGAATTAGGCAGCAGTCGACATCACGGCTGCTAAGTGTTGCATGTAAAGCAATGTGCCCTACATTTCGACCCATTAGCTTCACCAGGCCTATACCATTAACAGCACTCTCAGCCTCAACATGAGCAGCACTGATTGCTTGCTGTGCCATTTCAACAGCAGTTTGGAATCCAAAAGATCTATCTATTATTCCTATGTCATTATCCACTGTTTTTGGAATCCCAGCAACTGCAACTTTCAGTTTGCGGCGTTTGATTTCATTATATATCTTCACAGCTCCTCGCATGGTTCCATCTCCACCTATGATGTAAACCTGTTAAAGTCCATGAGATGTGCGCATCAGGTGTCTAGTTAGCAATTGTTCATGGCAATGCCACATGTTATGTCCAGTCAACTAATGAAAATAACAATAACGAGAAACTAACTTTATACCAACAAAACCTTCCAGGACACGTAGGATATTCCACGCTCAAGCAACAATGGAAAGCGAAATTTTCACTCTAGCAAAGAATTTCAAGAGCTAACGCATGACCTCTAAACAAACATATCTCGTACTAAATTCTGAACTGCACTTAACTTCTCAAGCAATCATGTCCATCTTAGAATATTAGGGCAGCTTGCTAATAGCCTATCCAGCTATGTTCATACTACATGCCATGACTCAGGCAACATTAATCATGGGTGTGAACGATTCAAAATAAAGATCAAAACAAAAGGAGAAAAAAAGAAAAGCATCAATGGCTAATTTCTTTGTTAAATCATTCCAGCCTTGACTTTTCATCTTTGCTGTGTTTATCACTGCAAAGACCGACAAGTGACAACAAAAAATTTAGCACAAGGCATGACCTTGATTCTTCTTTTTAAGATGATCACTACACAAATCAATATTTCCATCTTTAGATCAAATATATAACTAACATATCAGCAATGATGATTGCAATGAAAGCATGACTCAGATTCAACTATAGAAAGTGTCATAATGAAAAGGTAACCAGACCTTGGCAGCTGGCACTTTGTCACACAAAATAAACAATGTATCAAGCGAAGTATACTGCCGATCAAAGCGTGAACTTTAAAAATGACTATAAATTATATAGCACAAAGCGTCAATCACATTCTAGAACACCGTCGTTATGAGTCTCCTCACAGCACGTTGGCCATTAATTGGGTAGCCAATTCTTGAAACCTCACAGAGTAAAAGAATCTATCAAGCAATGTATACTCTAAAGTAAAGCATGCAGCCTGGGCTTCATAGACTAAAATGTCCATAATAAACAAAAAGCAGTGCTCACATTGTAAAACACCACCATTATCACTATCCTCACTTTGTATCAGACAATGAGAATCGTAACTAAATCCCCTCCTCAAACCAACTCAAGATAGAACAAACCTGATTGAAACCACGCTTCTCTATGGCATCGACGATCTTCTCGAGATCAAAACCGCCTCTGGAAGTTTCAAGCACCGTCCCACCCTTCTTGTGCCAATCGTGAACAAGCTTAGGGTTTAGTAGCCGAGGCTCCATGGAGTAAAATCCCCTGTACCCAGCAACAATACCGAAAATTTCACGCACTCCATAGAGGTGCCACAATCCCGTCACGAGCTCCCGAATCACGGTGTTCATCCCGGGGCACAGACCGCCACAGGTCACAATGGCGGCGCGTACGTTTGACGAGTCAAAGTAAATGTCTTTGCGCGGACCAGCCCTGTGGTAGGCCAAATGCCGCGAGGGAGAGGGGAAGATTCCGGAGAGATCGTAGGTAATTTGCCGGAGAACAACGTCAGATTGGGTCAAGTAGAACCCATCCACAGTATGAAAGTAGGGATTATGATCCAGCGGGTTCGGGCGGCTTTGGAGGTCCGGGACGTAGTCGGTAAGGCGAGGCAAGTCCTGGAGGTAAGTGGGCTCGAACGAGCTGATTATGGCGGCAGAATTGGTGTTATTGTCGGCGTGATCACCGGTACCGGTGAAGGTTGGGGCGGTAGCGTCCGTCGAAGAAATAGCCATGGAGAGATTTTTTGTTACTAGTTTGCTTCTGAGAAGATCAGAAGAGAGATACGAAAGAGTGAGGAGAGACGATGAACAGCTTTTTTTTCTTTTATTTTTTCTGGTAAAAAATGACGAGCCTTGAGTGAAGAGTGAAGACTGAAGAAGGGTGAGAGACCAGGGCGAAGCAGAATGAAATGGGAGCACAGGTACGTGGCGTCCTCTTTGTTTGACACGTGGTCAGTCCGGATCCGTTTATATTTTTATTTTATATTTTATTTTTATTTTTATTTAAATTTTCTTAATTATATTTTATGTTGATATTGATTATATTGATAATTATAATCCATACTTCCAAAAGTTATACAAAAGGTTATCATTAATTATAATCCCTACGTGACGAAATACTTTTTAAAAAAATAAATAATTTTCAATCAAATTGCATTTAATTACACTGGCATTTAACTAATAAAATGTATGAATGTTTCAACAAGGGATGCTAGTAAAAGCCAAGGAAGAAACGACACAAGTTGTTGAATTTCTTTTGGGATATGATTGTTTTTTTTCGGTTTAGAGGATTTGTTGGATTTTAGAGGGTTAGGATTAGGAAGTAGGCTGAAGGGGTATTTTGAATACCAGCTAATATTTAGAATAGAGACTAAAATATATTTTTAGTTCTAAGATTTTATTTTAGCCCCTTAATTTTAAAAAGTAAACTTTTAGTCTTCTAACTCTAAAACTATTAACAAAAAATGATTATATTAAACTCTTGAATGCTGATAAAACATTATTAAATGCTAACATATTAAGTTTAATATTCAAAACAACTATAATTTTTACAAAAAATATCATTTGAGACTAATAATTTTAGAGTTAAAAGACTGAAAGTATATTTTTTAAAATTAAGGGATCAAATTAAAATTTTATATAAAATTAAAGGATTAAATGTATAGTTTAGTCTAGAACGGGAAGTAATATGTTCGCTTTGTATGAAAAAGAAGAGAGTATAAAGGAAATTACTGATGACATAATAGATGAATTAAAAGCCACAATTCATAGGACTGAACTTTATGAGTGTATTAAACTTTTTCCCAATGACAGCTTCCTCCATTCAAGATATAGAACAAACTAGGGAGCATGTTTCATATTTATCACAATAATAAGCAGAGTATTCATTTTAATTTAGACTATTCAGATTAATTTTGGATAGTCCAGGTTAAATATAAATTTATTATGTTTTAATTAATTTTTTATTTTAATAGGTATAAATTTAAAGATAATCTTATAACTAATATTTCTTCTTAAAAAAATAGATTTATTATTTAAAAAAATTGCATATTAAAATTTTTTAATATGAATTTAGATAGCTTGGATTGTACAACCTCCGGTCCTTAATATAAGACCCTGTTTGAATTTTATTTTGGTTCTAAATATAAGACCCTAATCTATTTTTTCTCTTATATTTATACTTTTTTTTCCAAAACAACCCTTCTAATAATGATAGTTTTAGTCAATATACTTGATTAGCAAGGATATTTTAGGAAAGACAACACCAATTTAGAACAAATAACTAACTCAACTTACTTTTTTAATCTTCTCAAATTAATCTACTAACTCTTATAATTAAAACTGAGGTAGTATTACAGTTATGAAAACATGATAAAGAGGATGTTTTTCCACAATCAAATTATTAAAAAATGAATATTAAAAAGATAAATCATGCGCTTTTACTGACAATAAGTATACTGAGAGAGTTTACCGGCAACATATTTTTCAGGGAATTGGATTCTCTCCACTACTCTTCCCATCCTCTTCCCTCCACTACCCTCCTTTTCTCTTCACAACTATTGGATCAAAACTCCAATGGTTCAGATTTAATATGTTATAACATTTTATAAAAATAAATATTATGATAAAAAATAGATAAATAAATTTAAACTGTTAAAATCTAATCTGAACAGTTCATAATTACAGACTGTTATTATAAAGCAAATTTTTTTTATTTTTTTATTACAATTGTAAACTGTTCAGACCAGATTTTAACAGTTTAAATTTTTTTTAATAATATTATTTTTATAAGATGTTAAATCTGGACTATTGGAATTTTGATCCAATGGTTGTGAAGAGAAAAGAAGGATAGTGGAGAGGAAGAGGATGGGAAGGTAGTGGAGAGGATCCAAGTCCATTTTTCAGAGCTTTTATCAAACTGAACAAAGAACCGAGATAATAGTTCATTGGCATGACCATCCAATTTGAGTTAGGTTTTAACATCATGATTTTGGGGACTTAATTAGTCAATCATAAATTCCTTAAAAATACCTTTGAAGATTTTGCAAATTCCTCTAATTGAGCAGATGAGATGGGTATGAAATATTGCTTTCACTCAACGTGACAAGGGAACCTAATCATTGTGTGTGTTGATCACTAGTCACAATCCGAATCTTACCCTAAGTTTTTAAGATTTTATAAAACTAAATTATCATCATTCTTGTAGAAAGAACAATACTGCATCCCATCTTTAATATAAACGCTGATTTGATTTTTATTTTGATTCTAAATATAAGACTTAATTTTATTTTGTTTCTCATATTCATCTATTTTTTTCCGAAATAGTCATTGTAATAATAACAATACACTTGATTAGTAAGGATATTTTAAGAAAGATAATACATATTTATTACAAACAACTAACTTAACTAATTTTTTTAATTTACTCAAATTAATCAATTAATTTATATATTAAGAATGGGGGTAATAATTCTGAGAAAGAGTAGACAAGAGAGAACATAATTCGCTGTAGTGTGCTTGAAAAACTGTAAAACAGATCTCACCCACATTTGTCTCTGTCAGTTCGCTGTCATACGTGCGAGATCCTACTGCTCTTTTAGGCCCTTTCACTAATTCAAAAAACCCGTCACTGTTTTGGTTCTTGATATAAAATTTAATTGAAAGTTAAATTTGACTATAAATATAAAAATTTAATTCATTTTATTTTTTTTATCTTTTCTTAAAATATCCTTATTGATTATAAAAAAATTCCCATCAAGAAATAATTGTAATCATGCAATACATATGATTAAAGATGATAATTTATGAAGATTAACATATAAACAAATAACTAATTTAATTAGTTTTTTTAGTATATTTAAAGTATTTATCTAACTCTTATATTAAATATTGAAAGTAATATTATTTATATATTGAAAGTAATATTATTTATATACTTACACTCCCATAATCCTAAGCAATATGTGACCTTTTCTTTTTTCACACTCTCACTCACGTAACCCCAACACATTTTCTTTGGAAACTAGAACGTTGACGATACAAATAACTATATTTTTTTTTTATAGTTTAGGACTAATTATCTTCATTTTTATGAGGAACATTTGTGTATCAACTTTGCATTCTTTTTTCAAATATTTGGGATTTTAAATGAAAATTAAAAGAATTATTTTTTTCAGTATTATTCTCTGCAAACATAAAAGATCTTAGAGATTTAATTTCTCCCAATCTATATAGAGTAATATAATTCTCATAATTTTCTATTTTATATATTATTTTAAAGCAGACTGCTTATCTTTCTCATTCTAACTTCCATTTTCTAAAAACAGTTTTAATATAGCCAACATGACTACGACTACAAGCTTTCATGCACTATACAACGTATTATAATTATATAAAGAACAAGTTGTACGATATAAATTAGTGAATAATGTTTATAATGTGCAAATTGTATTATAAATTGTATTTTTTTTTTCCAAAATTATAAATTGTATATTAACAATACATTATTATTGATATGAGTCAATATTAAAAGTTTAGCTTCTTTATTCTTATTGCTAATAAATTTTTTGTTTTTTTTGTAAAAAAGGTAGTAATATACTAATCATTATTGCTTTTGAATATTTAAACAAAACTTGTAATAAACCATATTATCTATAAATTATAAAAAAATATCTGTTGTTATTGGGTTTTTAAAAAAATTAAAGCAAGCCATGTAATATGTGTTTGTGTATTTTCTTTTATATATATATATATATATATTTTATTTAATATTGAATAGGATGATCAGGTCGCGTAGCGCGTGAAACACCGAGCAGTCTTCGCATTTACGAATGCGTGTTCAAATGTCTAACCCAAACGGCGCGTGACTTCGTATGAATCTGAAGCTACAGGCGTCGTATTTGCCACAGAATAATGAAATTGAAATCTTTCTCGAATAAGAAATTAGCAATGACCTCCTGTAGTTGCACGAATTCACCCTGAATCTCATCTATTAGTCACCGACTTCGATTTTTTGGTACCCACCCTTAGCACTTCATTGCCTGTAAGTTTTTGTTCCCCTTTTCTCTTAAGTTATTTCGATCAATTTTTCCCTTGGTTCTTTAGGTTGAGAATATGAGATTTTTGAGTTGTTTCTTCTGAGATGTTGTGTTCTTCTGGGGGGTTTTGCGAGTTCCAAGTTAGCAATATAGTTCTAGTGGCACAAGCTTTTGGCTTCCCAGTTTAATATCTTAGATGATTAAGCTTCTGGCTTGAGATTAAGTGAGCAGAGTCCAATATCTCCTTAAGACCGGACACGTTTAAAGGAGTGTGTTTTGAGAAGTGGAATTTTTCTGGGTGTTGATAACCCTTTAGATTGTTGTGGAAGAGGTATTGGTACTTTTCTTCATTGTGATGCTGGATTTGGGGATTCCTTTATTTGCAATAAATCTTTGAGGGAATCAGTTCAGGCAAATTTGGAATATATTCGCATCATTTGATTGGAATTTGTTTTTCCAATCCTGCTGAAAATTGCATTTGCATGATAACAAAGTAAACGGTGTAGTGTTTCTGAAGAGCTTGGGTATCTTTCTAAGAGAGAAAGATGCAGCGTGTGCGTTTGTCATCTCAACAGGCGCCAGTGCACAAGCTGGGAGATCCTCAAATGACCTTATCCCCAAAATTTAGGTTAGCTGTGGTCCAATCTTCTCTATCAAATCCTTCACCAGAGTTAGAGTTTTCTCACTGCCAAGAACCCTTGATTCCGGGCCTCCCTGATGATGTTGCGCTCAATTGTCTTCTCCGGCTTCCAGTTCAGAGTCATGCAACCTGTAAAGCAGTCTGCAAGCGATGGCATATGCTTCTTGGTAGTAAAGAGAGATTTTTTACCCACAGGAAGCAATTGGGTTTGAAAGGCCCTTGGCTTTTTGTATTTGCCTACCACAAGTGCACTGGAAAGATCCAGTGGCAGGTTCTTGACCTCACCCACTTTTCTTGGCACTGCATCCCTGCAATGCCATGTAAGGATAAGGTTTGTCCCCATGGTTTTAGGTGTATTTCTATTCCCCACGAAGGCGTTCTCTTTGTATGTGGTGGAATGGTCTCTGATGTTGATTGTCCCCTTGACTTGGTAGTGAAATACGAGATGCATAAAAATCGTTGGACTGTGATGAATAGAATGATTACTGCTAGGTCATTTTTTGCCAGTGGAGTGATTGATGGGATGATTTATGTGGCTGGGGGAAACAGTGCAGGCCTTTTTGAGCTTGATTCTGCTGAGGTGTTGGACCCTCTCAATGGTAGTTGGCGTTCTATTGCCAGCATGGGAACAAATATGGCATCTTATGATGCTGCAGTGCTTAATGGGAAGCTTCTGGTGACAGAAGGCTGGTTATGGCCATTTTATGTCTCCCCTAGAGGTCAGATCTATGATCCAAGAACGAATAACTGGGAAAATATGGCTGTAGGACTTAGAGAAGGGTGGACAGGTTCAAGTGTTGTGGTTTATGGGCACCTATTTGTTGTTTCAGAGCTTGAAAGAATGAAAGTTAAGGTTTATGACACAGAATCTGATTCTTGGGAAGCCATAGAAGGCCCCCCATTGCCTGAGCAAATATGCAAACCTTTTGCTGTGAATTCTTGTGATTGCCATATTTATGTTGTGGGCCGAAATCTTCATGTTGCAGTTGGTCAAATCCTTAGACTGAACTCAAGGAAGGATTGTACCAAAAAGTGGAGCTTTGGTGTTCGATGGCATGTGATTGATGCGCCAGAAAGTTTCTCTGATCTGACTCCCTCAAGCTCTCAGGTGCTATTTGCATAGTTTTACACTGTTCTGGAATGTTATGGATGTTGTTGAATAAAATGTAATTAGATATATTTACCAAAGGTCTGAAACTTATAGTGGCTGTGTGGAGAAATGTTTGTAGTAGTTATTGAAATGTATTAATGGTAATATCTTCTTTTAATTTCTTTTATGATTTTACTTGTTCAATCTTAATTGCCTTGTTTCCTTCTCCTTGATGAACGTTCTCTGTGGCACGACTCTGTCGTCATGAGTTTTGGTCATATTATTTGTAAGTTAATCTAGAATCAATTTTTAAAAGGACAAATACTAGATTTCACTTTTAATAGCCTCAGCGGTCAATCATTCGGTTGGACCTTGTTGGTGATCAGCTTCATTTATTGTGTATACCAATAATACTGTTACAGTAATTAAAAAACCCTATGTACTGATTAATGCTGAATTGTGTAGAACCGAGCACCATTTTTATATGTTCGTTTTTCCTAACAATATTTAACCCTATCAATAGATATAGAGGGAGACCAAGAAGGACATTTAAGGAAATTACTGAATGGGATCTATTGGTGAATGATATATCTCTAGAATTGGTTCTTGGTGAAACACGGCGGTGTTGTGTAATCCATGTAACTGGCCTCATTTAGTAGAATAAGGCTTCTTGTTGAATCTTGCTAACTGTCAGCATGGTCAAAATGATGTATCTGTGGCCTGTGCCTCTTTGTCTCAGTTACCTTTAAGAGTACTTGTTCTAAGGTTGCCTAGACTATGGAAACATGATGAAACATCAGATTATGTTTTTCTACGACGCATGGCAATTTAGAAAGTAATCAAATTGATGGATGGGGTAACTTGGCAGCTATCTGAATTTTGGGGATTTTTTTTCCCCAATCAAGTTAACTGTACCTTAAACTACTATAGCATCTAATAATTACGCCGGTGTATCTCTTTGGGCAGCATCTGTCTGAAAGTGTTGAGCCCTGATTGTGATGCATTTTGGATGGGCATCTTTAGTTAATGAGTGGAATTTTTTCTTTTAATGAACTCTACACCATTATATACAGAACATAGAGTTTAAACTTCGAAGTCTTGCAGTCTGTGGGGAATGTTGCTATGTAATTTATCTGTCGTTATTGGTGGATAAACCAGAGAACGAGGAGGCGCCAAGTGAAGCTGTGAACACAATTGCATTACATAACAGATTATTATGGGCAGAGAGATACTCTTGTGGGCATTTGCTCTTGCCAAATATAGCAATAGCAAGTGGGGATCAGACACGTGGGACTAGTAACGTTTTTGTTATGATAACCGTGCTGTCAATATCTCTTGCCCCAATATCTTAAAAGGAAAAAGAAAATTGCTGACCATCTGCTTATTCTTTATCCGCATAGCTTATCATTCATCTTTGCTTTTGCTCGTAACCCTGATTGACTCGTGGGAATTGCTTGATTTCTGAATCAAACTAGTGGTGTTGATTGAGTCAGCATGACCCTAGCTGACACTAGCTAAAGGGTATGAAATCTCAAGTTTCTGTTAAACTAGCTGTAGATATATTTCGGAATGTTTGGGTAGAAATCAAATCATGATTTTAGAAATGATTTTACAGTATACGAAGTAAATATGTAGAGAAATTTGTCTCTATTTGTGAAAAAATATCTTGTAAAAGCACTTTTGAGTGTTTTCAAACTACTCGGAATTCTTCTTATGATACTTGGTGCTAGAAGACATGCTTCGCTTTAAGAATTCTTTGCTTCTGATTCCATGGTTAAAACTTAACATATATCCTTGGCGTGAGATAATACGGGTTAAAATATCAACCGTCTGAATGTATCCTTGTTTAATGGTATAATTGTTTTTCAAGTATGTTTTATAGAGCAGAAAGGCCTTTTGGTAATGTTCAAATCCGGACGCTAGGAATCCATAAAATCAGCACACCTTAACTTTGTGGTGTGTGTATTTATTGCGCCTTTGTGCGCGTGAGGGTGTGAACGCAAGCACAAAAAATAATATAATAATGATGACACAAACGCACCCTTAAGTGAGTGGGTTTGTACCAGAAAAGGTTGGGCACGTAGTGCTGTTTCTTTCTTCTTTACTAATAATAAGAGTGGGTCTAGTTAATAAAGAATTAATTCATTAAAATTATCAGTTCGAATCTCGTTATTGATGTGAGAATTTTGTTGATAAACAATTTATAAATATCTATATGAAAGTTTTTTTAACTTAGAAGCATATTCTAGTTGACTAATTCTAGTAAGTTTTTTGATCAAACTCATCTAAATTTTTTTTGTACGAAAAAAAGAAAGAAAGATAGGTAAGATGCGACCCTTGGTCAATGTGAGAAGCCGAACAAGATTGAAATTAAAAAGGAATCTATTCGGCTTGTTGCTATTAGTTAGTTGGAACAGGAAATGGCTAAGAATAAAAATTAAAGTCAAATTGTTCAACGCATTAAAAAATTGAATCGTCAGGCTTAAATTTGATTGAAGAATAATTTGATGTTTGGTACTTAACGAGTCAAAAGTTTAATAAATAAATGGTAATGAAGTCAAAATTAAATAACGGTTTAGAGACACACAAAAAATTAATACAAAAATTAAAGTGAAAATTTTACATTCGACAACAAATACATGTAAAATAAGTTGGATAAAATTTGTTTGGACGTTATAAATTTTTACTGGAACCGGGCCATACATGATGACTCAAAATAAATCTACAATTAAGATTTAAGGTTTAATGTACTTAAATTAACTACAGAAAATTGATCAGTTTAAGCATCTTTCGGTGCTTCAAGTCTTTTAGGATCTTTTCATGATTGATTCTGCTAAAAATATTTTATAAATTGTTTCCACCTAAAAGTCTTCTTAATGCTACAAAAACACGATAACCTTCTAGTAAAGTTGAGGATACGAATTTTGGATAGAAAAACTGCTCTGATGAAATTTAATTTATGTTGATGGCATTAAATTTTTCAACAACTTGTATAATTTTCCTAAGTTGTCCTAATTTGAAAGACGTATTATGAAAATAACCAAGACAAACCCCCAAATAATTGCTATAATAAGGACCCAAGGGAAATTGGGAGTGTCATCTCTTATCTTGACCAGAATGCTCCAATTTATTTACTAGATACTAAATAATTATACCACAAGATTTTTTTAAAAATAAAGATAAATGTTTTTTTAAAAAGAGAGAGAGAGAGAGAGAGAGACAGAAATCCGCAAACAGATAAGTTAATTTTAGTTTCAAAATAAAACCAATAAGCTGGTTCAGGAGGGAAAAATTTTGATAATGGCAACAGTTCCCCTAACCTTCAAAATGATTAGTATAACAAATCGGCTTAAACAGTGTCTGTGTGGGATCATCTTTATCCTCCCTTGATGAGTTTATGTTTTGCTCTACGCTGAACACTCAAGTCAATAATCTCGAGCCATGATACTTCCCATCTTGCTTGGTGTAAGATACCGGAATGTTTTGAGGAATAGGCTTTTAAGAGGACTATAAAGGGGAAAAAAATTTCTTCCAGACAATAATTTGAGCCTTTACAATTACAGTAACATTGTCAATAAATGATAGGGACAAAAGAGAGGAAAACTACATAGATACTGTACATAGGACATGGGGATTAAACATGGGGCCTCTCTCCCATGTCTTCTAGAAAAAGAGAATGTGAAGTGAAATTTGACGGAGAAACGCACTATGCAAGGTAATTGTATATTTGAGGGTTGCTCTTGTCCCTCTCCAAGTACTCCCTGTCAATAAGGCTTTCAATCCTTTTCTTCAAATCCACTGGTTTTATTGGAAATTTCAGCTGCTCACCCAAAGAAAAATAAGTTTAATTCCTAAAATTCAGTGTTCTCTCCAAAAATTACCGCAAGGCAAAGCACATTTCACAACATTATCAGCAGATGAGAAGTGCAGGTATCAATAGGAAAGCAACGCATAACGTTAACCATACATGAAAAATAAGTAATTATCCAAGTGTATTTTTAAGTGTCGCGGTGTACCTAGCACACTAGGTCATGTACTAGAGATGTATCAAAATTTTTAATCGGTCCTTAAGATATCAGTGGTAAGTGGTAACTCGTGAGTTTTCTTGTTCTCTGAAGTTACAACTTAGTTTCCGTTTTTTTTTTTCCTTTTTCCTTCTTTCTGTTTTTTCCTCTCCAAATCAAGGTTAAGGATCTTTTTGAGCTGTGTCTGCAGTAATCTTTGTCCTCGGGGATGATACCAAGGAGGTACTCCCCAGTCCCCACATCAACTCCATCTAAATACCATGGAACAACTCGGTGATTCACAGTCTGTTTGGTTTGTTTATCATCATTTTTTAAATCTTGTTTCATGTTTTATTCCTTTACATTTTGCGCAGCAAAACCTTTGAGAAAGATTGTTTTGTTTAAGGGGGATGAAAGGGAAAAGGAATTCACCTGTTGGAAGAGTTCGGTAATAAGAAGGGTATGGCTTAGGACTTTACGGGTCTTCATTATTCTCACAATAGCAGCATCAACCTGCAATAGACCATGCCAGTGATGCAAATATCTTACAGCTCATAAAATCATTAAAAAAATGCTAAATCATCATGAAGAAATAGAAATTGGAAAGAGAAAGGGAAAGAAGATTGACCTGATACTGACGGTCTTGGAAAACTCTTTCAGTGGTACTTGTATTCTCCTCCACTGTCTCCTTCATCTGAATTGCATTTACCTGTAAAATAGAAACCTCAGTCATTTTGAGCTTGATCTCTACCTCTAGTCACAGGCTAAATCCAAATAAACTGACTTCAGTTAAAAGGAAAAAATGCCAAAATTTGATATTCAATTCACAATATTACTATGATTCATGGAGCACGGTGGCTGTACCTTTATACGGTAAAGAGGAGCAGTAAACCCCTCATTGAAGATAAATGAGTCATCGTCCTCCACATCTCTTCCTTTGGGCAACTGTTGCATGTTCACCAAACGGAATCAGCATTAAAGTTTTCAAGAGATCATAGTCACAATTTGACTTTATTAGCTGGTGTTTCAGCAATTAGTCACACACCTTCTGTAATACACGCACTTTTCCACATGCAAGTGATTGCAGAGTCCTCCTCAATTCCTTGTCTTCAATACCGGTAGCATCTTTAATGTCTTGGAAGCTTAATTTCTCAGCGTCATTGAATAGCATCAGAACAACAGTCTAGACCACAACTCATTAAAGTTACCAGAATGTCAGAACTGAACACAGACAGGCACGCAGAATTAATGGAGAAAAAAGGACAACTAAGGTAACATCCCCAATAAGTTCTACCCCCCCCCCCCCAAAAAAAAAAGAACTTTTCTAGAATAACTAATCATGATGTGCTGCGTCGTAAAAAGTCATACATATGACATGTTTAAACAAGGGAATGGGAAAGCAAACACTTAAATAAACTGGACAAGAAGGGTTTGTTCAAGAAGACAGAAGAACATGAATTGAACGGAGATTAAGCTTTTCAAACGCCAACCTGAAAGAGGGACACAGCCAACTCCTTTTTACCTTTAGGAAACTCTGCCTTTAAGACACAGTGACCTAAAGAATTTTGCCACATCAGACGCCTTCCACTATATTTACTTAGATAGAACTCTTTGAATATATCCTGTTCAAGAAAAAAGGAAGGAAAGCACCATGTCAAGAAAGTCACTAGAAAAAGATGGCAACAACCAACATAAATAATGCATCACTAGTGGCTTGTGCCAAACCTGGTAAACATTCAATTCATGAGGAAGTCTCACATCCATGGGGGGGTACGTTGGCCAATATCTGCACTCATCCAATCACAATTACACTTCATCGAAACAAGAAGTGCATAGAAATTCATTTAAGATTACGGATAATATCCCAAAGCTTACCCTGTTGTTAAGACATGAACGCTCATTTCAATCCCTGATGGGAGTTTTGTCCTAGCCTGGGATGACTGTTTGAAGGACTCGTTTATTTCTTTTGATAATTCAATGTCCTGAATGAGAATAAATTTTAGGATATCTGTGAGAAGCTGTAAATATACAATAGTGCCTCATGAAACTCATATAGTCCATCTTTCATACGCTAGTTAAGAGTGAACTATAAATTAAAATTTAAGCATGAGATCTCAATATAGATGCATTTTATTATGCAAAGATACCTAAAAATAAATATAAGTATTTTAATGATAAAGTTAACAGGTACTGTGAAGTGGCTTTCCTACCTACTTGGAGCCAGAGCAATTTACTGGGCCACCAAGTCACCACTGAATTTACTTGGCCATCAAGAAAATTATCCCGACCATTGATCTCGTCTCAGTGGCCAATTTCTTCACCGTATATGTATGGCCTCAAGAAGCCATTCCATCCATCCCCCAGAAACAACAAAGCAGCATACACGCATAATTGCATTTTGTGAGCTGCCCTTCTGAGTTTTTAGGGGTTCTGGGCTTTCAGTGTTGCTCACCACATATTTTGTACTCTTCATTCAGTTAGTGTATTTTGTTCGTCCTTCACCTATGGATGTAGGCTCACGCTCACATAAATTCTGTGTCTCTTCTATTTGTTTACTTCTCAAATTTAGTTGATAATTATTTCCAAACATATATTCTTCTATGGTCAAATTCCTAAAAGGTCCAGTGAGACGTCTGTAGAAAAGCTCGCACAACTAAAAACAAAAGAACCAACTATAATACAGTTTTCTACCTTTATGCCACACGGTTTGTGACACAGAAATTCACATTGGGACACCGGTAGTACATGTAACGTCAGATCAACACGTCTACCTTTGCTATCTTCATTTAACATAGAATTTCATTCAACCCTTTTTCTATTTAAATTGAATTACATCCCGATCTCTTGATCTTAAGATCATATAATAACTTGTTTGAAATTTTATATACGTGCACACACAGGGTACAAATTAACCATTTATACTTGCCTCTTGTCACTACATTTTTGGAGCCATTAGATCCGGGTCAAAAGCAATGGCTACATACATATGATACTTTCTGAAATCAGAAGAATTAATACCTTTATGATCTCTAGCCTTCCAAGATTCACAGTAACCTTTTCCCCAACAATCAACTCACTTCTAAATTAAATTCTCTAGATTCTAAACATTACCACTGCATAAATGCTACTTCTGCCAGCCCTTAATATAGATAGCTAATTTATGGATATTAAGAAAATTAGTCACATTAGTTTTTCGTAACAAATATGTGTTGCTTTTCTAGAATACCCTTTCTAATTAGGTGCATTGTACCTATCCATTGATGGAAACCCTCCCAACTCATTAAGTACAATCAACAGGGATACCAAAAATTATAAATATGGGATACAATGTAAACTGAAATCTTATATTTAAGACCAAAATAAAAACCTTGTCTAGCTCCTATATTTAGGATTAGAGGTAGTATATAACTAGCAAATTTATTAATCACAAGAAATTGATAGCTTTATGATCTCTAACCCTCTTTTCTTGTTTGTATTAGAAAAAACCCATTGAGAACCTTTGGTTAATTGGTTGATGTGGACGGCAGTATTGATGCAATGGTGGAAGAGCATGTTATAATAGCTTTAGCGATGCCATTGGTTGTCATCGGGGTGATAATGGACGCAACAATGCTATAGCATCAGAAATACACAATATGCCAGATCTTGGTGGTAGCAAACATGGTACGTGATAAAGCGAAGATAACACCGCAAAAGCAGCACAAATACACAAGTAATGGGCAGAACTAATGTGCCAGTGACAGTGAGAAAAGTAATGATGGTTTTGGTGGTGACAGATAAGCTAGCAGTGGCAGCAGCAAGGGAAAGTGTGAACTCATGCTTTGTAAAATGGAGAATAATAGTGGTATTCTAGAAAAGAATCTCTTGCCAAATGCTAAAATTGCAAAGCCTCCAATTTTCTATGCAATGCTAAAACTGTCTGAAAAGAATAAAAATTGGAGGAGATTGCATCATAAAAAGAATTAGACGTGACAATAATAATAAGAAACCTACCAAAACTTCATTGATTAAGCTGTGCATTAGGAGCCAAAGTTGAGTCATTTTTCAGAAATTTAAGATTGATTTTTGAAACAAAAAATGGTTACCTTGAACATTCCTTCCAATTTGTTTGTGAATTGGCTGCCACACTCTGTCTTCAGCTGTATCAATAAAAGAAAACTGTTAATACTACTAAAACAGTTGATAGAGAAAAATTGATTTGCCTCAAAAGTCAATAAAGAGTAGAAAATCTTAACCTTTGAGATCATAGATTTCTCCGCATCAATAGAAGCACTCTTTCCCAAAAGCAATCTTTTAGCAAGATCTTTCTTGTAGAATGCTTCAAAAACATCTTTGCCCTTAAACAACCATAAAGCCAAATGGCTTTCCCAGTATCAGTATGGAGAGGAAGATAAATGAATGTACATAATGCCATCACAAACTGAAATTGCAGGAATCAAGGTGGAACTATTTGTTAATCCCACAACGGAACATTGAATGTACCTGGATGAACCTGAATAATACTAGGACTTTATCTAGTGTACCCTCTAACTCCTCTTCAGAAGTACCCTTGTTACCTGCACGAAGCTTCTCATCCAAAAACTTGGCAATCAACTCTGCAGGTCGGTTCTGTCATGGCAGCACAACGAGTGAATTCAATGCCCAAAATATTCGTATGTGTCAAATAATCACTTGACCTCAAAGCTTAAACCAGCAGAGGGATAAATGTGAATTTAGCTTATTCATAAAAACACTCTAAAGCAAAAGCCCCTTGTTCATAAATATGGATAAAGCAGAGTCTCGCCACTGACAGGCGGAAAAGTTCAGTAACAAATGGAAATGGCCAAAAGGGAAATTCAAAACCACTGGAAAATCTGTAAAAGAGTCTCTCATCCTCGGCTGGAAGGGAAAAAAAATGTTGAACTTCAAAGCTAAAGCAGTAAAGTAAGGAGTAAACCTAAAGACGACATTCAAATATTCCTCGCATTAGACTTCCACCTAATGTTCACATTACTACAGCAGCAACTACCTAGTGATCTTACCTCATTATAAGAAGGCTTCTACAATGGATTTTTTTTATTAGCACTTAATTCTAGATAAGTGAATTCTATATGTAAAATAAAAAAACCTTAAAATCACCTTTACTTAGCATAGCATTACACAATGTTCTTAATTGTGTCCACTCTAAAAAATTTTTGAACATAGTATCATTGCTGTTTCCTCATACAAGAGGTAAACTTGCAAATATTACATAGATTCCAAAATCTACAATGGATGTTAATAATATACACATTTTGAGATGTTTTGGAGCTGAAAATAAGTCAATCATGGTTATCAGAATGTGACAAATCGTTTCTATAAATTATTACTTAGAGCCATCATCCATCATTACTTCTCGTTATCATATCAGCATCCAAATCCATCATCTAAAGACAAACCAAAAAGGGCCAATGATATTTCTGATCGGACTTTCCCCGCTTAGTTCCCCACGCAACCAGCTTGTTCAGTACCTATCAACTATACACCCTAAACATGCATGAATAACATACTTCTTAAGCGTGAGGAGAGTTTGTCTCAATTTTAAGTAAGAGGAACAAAAATGACAAGCTGACACAAATGAGAAATACCCATAACAGCTGAACCCAAGCTTAACAGAAGTTGTCTCAATTTTTAAATTTATTTGTGAAAACTATTCAAATGAAGCTGGAATAATAGATAGCATATGAACGGAGCACACCTGACGTATATTGATAAGATGCTCAAATGCATCCTTGATAGTGTTGGAGAATGCCTCATTCTTGAAAAAGCTTTCTTCCCATATTTTGTCAAGAGAAGCCTTGAATTCCAGAAGGGATGAAACCATATCTTTATCTTTCTCCTCATCCATAACAATTCCTTGCCCAGTTCTCCTGATGTATGAACTCAGGGCCTGCCTTAGTGACTCAAGGGCATTGACCCTTGAAAAGAGTGAATACATTCTCTGAAGGTCTTCAATCCGATTTCCATCCATAAGCACCATGAAACCCTGTTCAACTCAATCATGATAACAAATTAGAAGAAACAACATAGAGACGCATCATACAAGAGACATTTCACCCAAGGAAATTCTGAAAACTTAAGTTAATCAGCACCTTATCAAGTATGGCAGGTATATGACATTCAAGAAGCTGCTTTTCCGCTGTGGCTATCAAAGGTCTCCTAGTACTTGCATCCAAATATTTCAAACATCTTTCATGCTCTTCGTGCAATCTCGTCTATGATATATACAAATATCCCAACAGCACATACACATTGTAAAACATGGAAAGATTAGAAGTGTGAAGAAAAACCTAATGGAAATAAAATTCTGACAGATAATGGCACGACCCATTCATTAATGGCCTGTTTGTTCAAGCCTAAAAAATAAGTCTGGATAGTTTAGATACTTTATGAAAAGTGATTTATTATGAGGAGATTTTATTTTTAAAAAATTACTGTGTTTGGTTATAATCATTAAAAAAACGATGTTTTATCTAGTGATTTTCAGATTTTATGATAGCTATATATAGCTCTGCTCATTAAAAAAAATTGATTTATTATACACCGATTCTAAAAATTTAAGATATCACTATGTATCTTGATACCTGTATGAACATTCTCTGGCATTTAACACATTTAATTATCTTCAGAAGCTTCTCATCTCAAACTAGTGAAAACTCTGCTTTTTCCTATATCTTGATTATTTTGAAAAGCTAAAACAAACATCATAAAACTTCTTGAAAGTAATTTTTTTCAGCCAAAAAAAAAAAAAAAGTGAATTTGACATTAAAAGAGCTTAAACAAATAGGCCCTAAATATTAAATATTAGTGAAGAGCACATAATATTTTCAATAGAAGATGCTGACAAGATAATATAAGTAGGAGAATGAAGCACCTCCACATGCTTCAAATAATCGGGAACATCCGATTGCTGCATGTATTTCATGCCTTCAGTAGCATAAAACTCTGACGTACACTCAAGGAATGGCTTCTCAAAGCTTTGTGCATAAATTCCCAGAGCAGTAAACATCTTCAGAAGATGGTTGAGGAGTGTCCGATCCACTGCTTCACCTAATCTGAGAAGGCCAAACACAAAGCAGAAGTTGTAAACAACAAAGCAAGCAGAAGAATATCATGGCCGAAATAGTAAATTTAGCAAATATGATCACAAGAAAGCTAATAAAAGAATAAAAGAACTGTTAAAATAATACTAGCTTATCTTTGTTTAGTTACACTGTAAGAGATTGACAACAGCTGTTAAATTAAATCAATCAATAAATAAATTTTAGAATAAACTGAATGGCAAAGATGTTGGGCAAGACAGAGCATAATGACATGTCATATTTAAAGCATAAAAGTATATGATATAACCGCTGGCATTAGGAAGACTTATGAGAGAAGGATGAGAAAACCAAGGGGAGAAGTTAAATCCACTGGTCAGAACAATTGTACCAGAACTCCAGGAAATGAGGAACAACTCGGATTGGCAGCTTACCTCTAGCCGTATGGGTCCTTAACCTTGTAGGGTGGGTAGGACTACTTTTGTGGGGGAGCTTATATTACTTTGTAAGGGGACGGACAGAGGAGGGGTTTTTTTAGACAGGAAAAACAGTATTGTGGGAGAGCCCCGGCCTCTCGAACGCCGTGGAACTTGTTGTGTATAAGCTTCATTATTTTGTAACTGTGTAATCCTCCGCTGTGACGTGCTGTTGTGATCTATTTTGATTGTTAGAGGGAAATAGGGCTTTGAGCTAGAATCAGGGAAGCTCGTTGTATCTTGATTCAGTGTTGGAGCATTAATATCAAAGCCTCAGGATTTCCTTCATTAATTGCTGATCTGTTTCATTACTATTATTTTGCTGTCCGTTTATTTAAGCATTAAAGCAGGTCACAACATTTTGGTATCAGAGCGTTCGATCCCAGGGCCATTTTGGTGAAAATAGTAATGGGAGAGGAAGTACAGTACACGAGTCCAGAAGTACAGGAGTTAAAGGAGACCGTTGGGGGCTTGACTAGGGATATGGATATATTGAAGGGGGCGGTTAACCGGATACAAGAAGCGATTGAGCTGCTGGTAAGGTCAAGAGATGGTACTGAGTCAACTAGTCATGGAAGGGAGAGAACCCACGAGGAAACTTATGAGAACCGTGGAAACGCAGACAGAGAAGCGGGGAAATACAGAAAGCTGGAACTACCTATTTTCAACGGAGAGGACCCTTTAGGGTGGTTCTTCAGAGTTGAGCGATACTTCAGAGTCAACGCTATACCGGAAGCAGAAAAGTTGGATGCGGTGGCGGTCTGCTTAGAAGGGAAAGCTCTGAATTGGTACCAATGGGTGGAATCTCGAACTACTATTCGGGGCTGGCAAGAATTCAAGAAGGAAGCTTTGCGGCGATTCCATCCATCCCAGCTTGGAGATAGATATGAAATGCTCTATGCGGCGAAACAAAATTGCTCTGTCCTGGAATTTGTGGAGGAGTTTGAGCGACTCGCAGCCCCCTTGGCAGATATACCAGAGGAGAGCCTGATTGGAGCTTTTCGAGTTGCCTTGAAACCGGAGATAAGAGCCGAGCTTCGGCTGACCAATGCCAGTTCCCTTCGGGAGGTGATGGAAATGGCGATCCGAGTTGAAGAACGGAACCAAGTGCTCGACGCTGCCAGGGACACTCGGGCTACCCGTTTTCAAAAATATCCTAGTGGGCCCAAAACAGATTCAGCCCAGACCCAATACACCAGAGTAACCAACTTGCCCGAAACGCAGAGGGTCTCGTCGTTCACCTTCACACGCCCAGACACTGCATTTGCGAAGAAAGATGACGCGAAGGGAGTAGATTCGAAGGGGAGCAATCCCTCAGTGGCTTCAAGTTCATCAGCCCGAAGAGGAGTGATGGGTCGACGCCTCTCTGACGCAGAGCTTGCCCGACGTCGGGAGCTGGGGCTTTGCTTCAAATGTTCTGAAAAGTTTAGCCCCAACCACGTCTGCAAGAACCGAAACTTACAGGTGATGATATTGGATATGGAGGCTGAGAAGGCTGAGGATGGAAAAACTGAATCGGAAAAAGAAGAAGAGGTCATCGAGGGGGAAGAAGGAGAGAACATGACGATGGAACTATCTCTCAACTCCATCACCGATTTTGGCAACAACCACACAATGAAAGTACGTGGACGGTTGGCCGACGAGGAGGTCATTATTCTGATAGACAGTGGCGCCACACACAACTTTATTTCAGAGGACTTAGTGAGCAGGGGAGGGATCGAAGTGGATGAAATAGCCGAATATACTGTGGCTGTGGGGAACGGGCACCGACTGAAAAGAAGGCAACGCTGTCCAAGGATCAATCCTAAGGTACAGGGCCTTGAAATTAATCAAATTTTTTACCCGTTTCCATTAAGTGGTGTCGATATAGTACTGGGGGTTGAATGGCTGAAATCATTGGGGGATGTGAACGTCAATTGGGACCGTCTAACTATGAAGATTGGGGCCCCCGAAAACAGAGTGTGCCTACAAGGGGACCCAACGTTGACAAAGTGTCAGGCTATAGAAGGGTTACCTCCCTCTCGTTCGAAAGACCATGCGATTGTAATTAGGCCAGGGGAGGAGCCCCCAAATATTCGACCTTACCGGTACCCCCATCTACAGAAAAATGAGATAGAAAAGATGGTGAAGGACATGTTGCAAGCAGGAATTATACAGCCCAGCAACAGCCCCTACTCCAGCCCCGTTTTGCTGGTAAAGAAAAAAGATGGGAGTTGGCGGTTCTGCGTTGATTACAGAGCATTGAATAAGATCACAGTACCAGACAAGTTCCCTATTCTGGCCATCGATGAACTGTTGGATGAGCTTAAGGGAGCGAATATCTTTTCAAAGCTGGATCTCAAATCCGGATACCATCAGATCCGAATTAAGTTGGGGGATGAGCACAAAACAGCTTTCAGAACACATGAGGGTCATTATGAATTCAAAGTAATGCCATTCGGGTTGACCAACGCACCCTCTACCTTCCAATCCTTGATGAATGAGGTGTTCCGAGAGTACTTACGTAAGTTTGTTTTGGTGTTTTTCGATGATATTCTCATTTATAGTGCAGACTTTTCCACTCATTTGAAACATTTAGAGACTGTGCTAACCTGTTTGAGAAGAAACCAGCTGGTTATCAATTTAAAAAAATGCAGTTTCATGCAGCCCATGATTGAGTATCTTGGTCACATCATCTCCCAAGAAGGAGTGCAAGCTGATCCATCTAAAATTGCGAGCATGGTGAACTGGCCCAAGCCCAAGAATGTGAAATCCTTGAGGGGGTTCCTAGGGCTCACGGGATATTACCGGCGGTTTGTTAAAAATTATGGGAAGATAGCTAGCCCTCTTACAGATTTATTGAAAAGGGATGCTTTTAAATGGACCTCAGAAGCTGAAACAGCATTTGAGGAGCTCAAAATGGCCATGACAACGCTTCCAGTGCTAGCGATGCCAGGTTTTTCAATTCCCTTCGAACTGGAAACCGATGCTTCGGGGACTGGTGTGGGAGCTGTGCTGGTGCAGAAAGGAAAACCAGTAGCCTATTACAGCCAAAAACTATCCAATCGAGCCCGACAATGCTCAGTTTACGAAAGGGAGCTCATGGCCATTGTTATGGCAGTAAAAAAGTGGCGCCACTACCTTTGGGGGCATAAATTTGTAATCAGGACAGATCAGAAGGCTCTGAAATACCTACTGGAGCAAAGAATTGTAGAAGAAAACCAGCAGAAGTGGGTCTCTAAATTAATGGGGTTTAAATTCGAAATAGTCTACAAACCAGGCAGGGAGAACCGGGCTGCAGACGCCTTGTCAAGGCAAGATGAATCTGTCGAGATGATGGGTTTTTCTATGTGGCAATATGATGAGATTGAGGATTGGGAAAAAGAGGTGCAATTTGATTCAAAACTAGCATCAATTATACAGCGACTAATCATTAAGCCAGGGGAAGTCGAGGGTTACAGCCTTGAAAAAGGCTGTTTGCATTACAAAGGAAGACTTGTGTTACCAAAGAAATCCACCAAAATTCCCTTGTTACTTAAAGAATACCATGACTCTCCAGTAGGGGGACATTCTGGCTATCTTAGAACTTACAAAAGATTGTCCAGTGTGGTATATTGGGAGGGAATGAAGAAGGACATTCAATTATACGTGGCTCAATGTGATGTGTGTCAGAAAAATAAATATCAAGCTCTCTCTCCTGCCGGCTTGTTGCAGCCCTTACCCATTCCACAAGGGATTTGGGAAGACATTAGCATGGATTTCATTACCGGGCTTCCTAAGTCTAAGAGGTATGATGTTATACTAGTTGTGGTGGATCGACTCTCCAAATATGCACACTTTCTTCCATTATCCCACCCTTTTACAGCAAAAGATGTCGCTGAAAAATTTGTTAATGACATTGTGAAATTGCATGGTTTCCCTAAGTCGATTATATCAGATAGGGACAGAATTTTTGTGAGCCAGTTTTGGAATGAATTGTTTAAGCAAGCTGGAACCCGACTGTGTCTTAGCTCGGCGTACCATCCGGAGACCGATGGCCAGACCGAGGTATTGAATAGAGGGCTGGAAACTTATTTACGCTGTTTTACCAGCGAAAAGCCTACTCATTGGGTTCAGTGGTTACCATGGGCTGAATATTGGTACAACACATCACATCATACGGCTGCAAACATGACCCCGTTCAAAGCAGTTTATGGAAGGGACCCCCCTACGCTCCTCAAATTGGTTGATGAACCTTCTGCACTAGAAGCTGTTAATGAGCAGATTCAACAAAGAAACCAAGTCATTGCTGTCCTGAAAGAGAATCTAAGCAAAGCGCAAAACAGAATGAAAGTGCAAGCTGACAAGCATCGAAGAGAAGTTCACTTTGAAGTGGGGGAACAAGTTTATGTCAAATTCAGACCCTATAGGCTTCGAACCTTGGCTAGAAGACTCAATGAAAAACTGAGCCCTCGCTTCTATGGCCCTTTCAAGATCCTGGAAAAAGTGGGGACCGTAGCATACAGACTTGACCTCCCTCCAACAGCCTGGATTCACCCCGTCTTCCATGTTTCAAATCTG